CATATTGGCAGTTTGAGTGTCAGGCTATTGCGTGACCCACAGAAAAAGATCTGCTGCATAGCTTTTTCCAGATTTTCAGAATTATTCATTGCTCATAACGTGTAGGTTGTTTGGGATCCTTTCTGCGTTTGTCTGAGTCAGAGTGTGAGATAGAGACACTAAAACATGAAGGCAAAGCTGAGCTACGATGAACAGCAGGCACAGTAGGATCGAGTGTCCGAAGCACCACATCTGGACTCACATTAGATCTGGTCTGGTATCTAAAGGGGTAAATGGCCCCTACATTTAAACAGAGCAGAAAAAAACAATAAATTGTTGTTGTTTCTTTAACATTTAGAAATTAACGATGACGACAATGTATTTTTTTATCAGTTTTTGGTATGAGACTTTTTATGCTTAAAACCACAATGCTGTTTTCCATTACTTCTCTTCACAGGCAGATCAGAGGTCAGGGTCGATTATACAACAGCTTGTAGGGACTTTGTCATAGACCACTTACCAAGGCACACGTTTCCTGTTGTGGTGTCTTCAACTCAGGCCCCCTAAGCCTAACCCTGCTCACTGCCCTCTCTCCCACTCCTGTTCACTGCTCACTGGCTCTTGGTCTATTATAATTTACAGTATATTAATTCTCTCCAGTTGAAAGACTTCAACACATTTGTGCTTCAGAATTTTCTTATTCTTTTCTGCTAAATATGTAAAATAGTAAACGCTTGACGCTTTCAATGTTTACATCTCTGTCAGTTTCTGCTTCTCCCACACTGCTCAGTGTGTGATTCACTATCGCAGCTACACCAATGGGTATTCCCCTAGTACGAGAATGCAAAGTGTAGTCACATTTTCTTTGACTAAGTCTTAAATTAATTTGATCCAGATAATTTATTTCATGCTGTGTTTTTTTTTCATTAGTGTTGGAAAGAATTGCTTGACTTGTCCCTCAGTACAAATGTTTAGTTTGTTGATGGTATCTATGCATTAACTGATTTGAATATTCATTTAACTGATGTCGATCACAAAATGTCAAGGCTGTCATGCTGGATGACATTTTGATGATTTGTCAGGGTTTAATGTAATATGTAAGTTTTATACCTGTCACATAAGAAGTTTAAAAGTAAGAAAATAAAGTCTAAAATATAGTAGTCAGATGAATGAATGATTGAACATAGAAGAAATTCTGTGATGTATGGTACTCATAAACATATATTTAAAATGTAATGCCTAGATGAGAAAATAGTTACAGAGAAGCACTGATAGTGTACATCTTGGTAACTGCATAGATAATGAAGCCAGTCCAAGTCTTTTTCAACTTTCAGCAGCTGAAATGACACAACTTGCAAATTTCCAACAGTTGAAACACACTGACACAGTGGCTGTGAGTACTCTATTGGGGTTTCTGGTAAATATACTCATTTTAATATTCTGCTGCTTTTCTAATCTGTTTCTAAAATTAAGCAAATTGCTTAAAATTGCTTTTTGGATGAATTAGTCGTGTGCTTCACATTTGGATTATGAGTAAACATATAGCACACAACAGTAGTCCAAACTACTGGTTTCTCTGACATCTGTATTATGTAATGTAACTTTTATCTTCAGCTTGAGGTCAGGACAGACAATCCAAAAATATAACTGTTTGTAGTTGGAGAACTTGGATATTGTACAGCAAAGGAGTTACACCATTTATTCTCTGTGTATATGTGTATGAAGAACTTTCAGATTTTTCAAAAGAGATATACAATGTTTGTGCACCATAGTATATCATACTGGACGTTAAAGTATATAGGAAGCAACAAGGGAACAACGCACTTGGTTCACATCAGATTTTAATCTAATGCCTTTATTACATAGTCCCCAAACTGTAATTTATCTATTATGTATCTATTACCCATTATTTATAAATCTACTTCATAATTTTCTCACATTATCCATCAAGTTGACTTTCATTCTTTTTGGCTGTGTCTGACAAGACATTGCATTCAGATTAACATGGTAATGCGTAGAGTCTATAATGTTCTTGCTTTTATTGGAGCTTTACAGTCTGGAGTGCCTGGGGTCCACAGTCTCAACGCTTTTAACTTTTCTAACCCTGAGCTCAGAGTAACATTGATCCAAGATTAACTTCATCAATGCACTATGTGGCTTTTGATTCCCTCTAACAAAGCAGTAATAGATTTACTATATGAAAAAGTTTGCCTGCTTCAAACAGGCATAACATCTGTCATCCATGCTGCAATACAAAATGAATTTAGTTGACTATAACTAAAATGAGAGACCTATGTAAGTGCTTGTTCACCAGCTGATTGTGGATAGAACACAACACACATTGTCTGATGAACCTTATAATTGTATTACACCCCTAATTTATGACATCATCACTTACAGATTTTGCATGGGTGGGGTTAATAAGAAAATCATTCAACTGGGTTGAGAGGCATTAGGTGAATTTAATTAGGTGAAACTGTGATGAATTCAAAATTGACCAATTCTGTTTGACTCATGTGAATCATCATTTCAATTTTCAGTACTTTTACATACCATTGTGGCATTTTGTTTTTGTCAATATGTTTAGCCGTACTAAATTACATTAATTAGAAGCATTGCAGGTGTATTTCTAATTATATAAAATACTGAAAGAATAAAGTGATACACATGATAGCCCATACAATTAACTGAGCATGCAGCTGTCAATCATTTAGTGGTCAGAACTGTACACGCTCTGTGCCCCACACCCACATCAGGGTCCCTGCGGGAGGCCGCCCACCATGTGAGAATGTCCTGTAGATTAGTGTGAGCGAGTCCGTCCCTCCCCAGTGAACATCAAGAGTCAGCAACCTCAACACTGTCCTGCCCTTTCACAACTACTGTGACAGCGGCTCTGCTCTGGAATAGATAAACCACTATGACCACAAAACCGATCATTTTTAAGATCATGATATCTGGTGATTCTGTGTGAGTTCTGCATATGATTGACTTGTCTTTTATTATTTGGCTGAATTTCAATACTGCATTCATTTGCTGTTGTTTTTACTCTATGTATTATAATGAAATTTAAAGGGCACAGGGTGCCATGGAGAGTGAGCGAGAACCGAGCATTAAGATGTGGGAAAATATTTCACGCTCAAATGTTGACTACCTGTTGCTATGGCAATGGGTTTGGATCCTGCAGGCTGCAGGACTCTTGCTATTTCTAAATAAAGCTTTTTTTCTCACTGATCAGTGGATGAAGATACTCACAGTTGAAACTAATCTTCTGAATTGTATCAGTCTTAGTAAACACTGGTGCTGTGCACTCTAATACTTATTCCTAAACCTCCTAAACAGCATTTACAGGATTAGAGATAAGACGATGCAAAATAAGGGGCACATGCTTTACTGGTTCTAATTTTTTTTTTTTTTTTTTTTTTACATTTTTATAAATCATAAGACTTGAATAAATTAATAAATGTAACAATACAAATAATATAAGTGCATCTCAAGTATTTTGGCATAGAATTACGGACACAGTATATGCTTATGACCATAGTTAGTTGTAAATCGTAACTGGCACTGTAACATGGTCATCATGTGAACAGCAGTTCATCGGCTGCCGGGTAACAGGTGCAGTATTTTCAAAAAACAGTCAGACTGTGATCGGTCGAGTGCCCTAGTCCTCTCTTCTGCATATAACTAGAAATCAAATGAAACTTCCCTGTCAAGAAACACTAATATTGAAGTTATTTATTAGGTAATAGGGGGATCAAGTTATCTCTCCAAAGTGTAATGTGTTGACCCCCTCTTAAAAACGATCGATTGTTGAGAGGAAAATGTGTTTCCACCATTCCCAAGATGAAGAAAAATATAGTCTACAAAATGCCATTGTTGCTGTTTGTACTATTTTCTGAGTTGGTTAAGTCCACATCCATAAAGAGAAATGCAGCTTAATGTTATTATCCTACTGAAATTTGTATTTTATTTTCCAGCAAACTGAAATTTCTGTTTAAGGATCAAAGGAGGTTGTCCTTGTCTTTTGTCCTTGTATGCTGTCCAGTAACACAGTACCTTTGTCACCCTGTGGGGGGAGCCTGTGTGTGGAGAAAAGAGGACAGTAATAGCCGCTGAGACCAGATATTTGATGTCTGTGATGGGGACTTCCATGCTTACCTCAAGTGTGTTTTGGGCCATTTCACATACGAGATATTTAGTAATTTTCCTCCCACTCAAGGATGCAGCCGTCTTGCAGTAAGCAGCCAAGTCTATTAAACAAACATTCCTGTGTGCACAATTTGCAGTGTGAAGTCCCTGACTGTGGGCTTCCTGAGGATGAGGGAGTTTAACCTGACAAATATAGAGTAGAGAATGCTTTTGAAAAATATCTGAGCTTCACATCGTTTAACATGATGTCTGTTTCGAGGAGACAGGTAGTTAATGTGTAATTAATAATACAGGAAATTGCTACCTGGAGATCCACTCAGTGGACATCTCTTTTATCTTCAGATATTAATATAACAGATCTTTTATATATTTGACTTTGACATATTTTAACCAACTGTTTTGATGTAACCCTGTAGAGGAGCTAAATGTCAGCTTAATATTTTTTTTTAAATCACAAGTGAAAAATGATTATCTGTCATCACCTAAACTTCAATGTTTATGGGATCTATATTTGCTAAAAATCACTCGCTACATCAAAATATTTCTACCAAGTAAAAATGAAGCAGGTTAGACTATAACAAAATTAGCTCCAAATAGAATTGGCGTGGGAATGAAATGGCCTCTCCATCCTCTCTCTAGTTGGTACAGTGGGTGCTAATTCAAGGACTGACCACTGAGCTAAGCAAGCGCAGAATATTTGGCTGTGGGAGCACATAACTAAGGGCTGTATTGTAGGAAGCAATGTAACGGCCCACTGTGCTGTCTTTCTTGTCAAATTATTGGTTTATGGTCATTTTTAAACAACTGGTTTGTCATAGAAGTGAACTGTCCTGACTGTCCTGTCCTGACTGACTTTGTGTCTGAATCAACAGGGAGATGCACTCAAGAAAGGACAAATACAAGGAACCACCCTCACTGGTATGTATGGTTTTCAGTATACCATTCATTTTGTAGCCTTAGTTACTGTACTCATTACACCGTGCTTTACTTTAATTACACAAGTTTGCTCATTTATGTTGTGTAAGCTGTAAAATGTACTGAGGTAAATCAAATATTTTTTGTTTGGAATTGTTCTACAATATTATTTTGCACTGTTGCTGAATTACGTTTCATTATTATTAATTCAATAGTCTTTGTTTCACTATCACTTACAGCAATTTAACTTCACGATTGTTATCGTGACTGCTTCTTTCTGGGTAATTTTACTTCCTACCTGCCTTTGTTTTGCAGCAGACATTTTCCACGTGTAACAGGTGAAACACGTGCAACAGTAGAGCTGAGAGTCAGATGTGAACATTGAAACAGGGAAGCTAGGTTTGCTTACTGTCTTCTGGTTTTAGTGTTGATTAAAAAAGATTTATTCAAAGAAAAACAGTTGCCTGTTTATTACCCACAACCCAAAGTGACTGAGGAACACTAGGAAATTCAGTTTTATAGATCCACAGCTACCACTGGTTCATTGTAATCTAAAAAACATAACCCGGATGCATGAGTCATAACTGTTATGAAACCTGATACAATGGAAACAACTGGCGTATCAAAGATTTTGTCGGATTTTACTTGCATCATTCTGATAATCACATGTATTTCTATGTAATATCATCCACCAGCCTCAGCTCTCCTGATTCTGATTCTTTGTATGCCCATGCAGACTATCATCCACCAACCCCGCCACAGAAGTCTGGTTTTCATCGCTACCAGTTCATGTTGTTTGAGCAGCTTCCAGACGCACCAGTGTCGCTCACCGGGCGGGAAAAGTCGTCCCGCGGTAATGACTCAACTCACCCGTACTTTGGGTTCAGACCACTTTTGGCTGCTGCAGTATCATCTATCATATACCAACACTGATCAGCACTACTGCCAACAGCTAGTTGTTGAATCAGCAATAGAAAGATTACACCGAGGCATTGAAACTTGAGGCCCAAACATTTCCTCTCAAAATAATTACAGTATAGGTTTTTGTGGTTATAGGTTTTGTGTTTTAAGAACCTTTTTAGGCTGCTGCAGGTATTTTTATAAACATTAGCAATAGGATTATCCACTTCCTGACATACAGTAGGAAGTTGTGTCATTTTACAATATTAGACTGATTAACTTATTGCCTCATTTGTTTGAGTGGGCTTATTTAGGGTGAAGATTTACCATATTAGGTTTCATCAAATATATCAGCGACACTCTTGAAGCTACCTTTATTGGCTCTGCGGCCAGACACCGTCTAACCATCTTTAAGTCCAGGTTTTGGACTATAGCTGTGTTTTTTCGCTCAGACAAAAACAATTATGAGCATTTAATCGAAGCATTTGGAGTTACTTTAGGAAGATCATCGTCTCAAAGTGCTTGACCTTGACAAAGGAAATGTTAATGAGGTCAGTGAGTAAGTCTGCTGCAGTGTTAATGCCTACAGGGTCAAGTATTGTTAGCTCCCACGCATACCTGCACAAGTCTGCTTGACCACGTCTTGTTAACCTCTGCAAAACCTGAAATTCTTATCAACAATGACAACAGACATGCACGGTCAGTTTAGTTTTAACCCTGATTACTGCTGTTATTATTACCAGATCATTTTCTTAGTTTGTCTCTCAAAGGACGACCTTGTTTGTCTTGCAGAAAGCGGAGTTATTGTTTTGTTTACACTTCAGGTTTTCTGACTTTTCCCCCCCCTGAAGAGAAGTCTCTTGAAGGTGGGCACCTGCACCTGGATGTAGAGTACAGTGCCTCACAGGGGGCGTGCCTGTCTGTCTGTTCTACTTGGGCCACGACCGGTGATTTGAGGGGAGATCAGGGCGTTTTGAGACTTCAAGCGCTGCGGCCGTGAATGAGTGGAGCTGCCAGTCTCTACTGTTTGAAGTTTTGACAGCTGTGTCAGCAAACAATCCAGGCACATTAGGCTGAGGTGTGTTTGATGTTGAAACCTCTGGAAAAAGAAATGTCAAAAGAGATGTACTTTGGAGTATTTTTTTGTATCCGAATTCACATTTGGGGAGGTTGAGATGAACTGTTATCACATTGTTAGAGTATTGACTGTGTCAGAAATGGTTAAGCTGAAGAAATAATAGCATGAATAATAACCTGCTATTTAGAATAATTTAATATACTTTTTGTGCAAAATAAACTGGTGCATACTAATTTTCTGCTACCAGCTCAAATACAGTAGTTTCCCCCACATTATGAAGCGATTGAGCTGAGTGGATCCACCCATCCTTAATCTACTGGATGAATTTAACTCGTGCTGTAGCACTTCCTCTCTCCTGCAAACTGTTCTCTCCATTCAAGGGAAATGAAATTAAGAAAATCCACTCTTGGATAATCAGATGTTTCATTTGATGGGTCAATTCTGGAGAGGATAACTGCCCTTGTAAAGAGGCTAATGGAAATAGACACGGTGTGACATATTAAGAATGACAGCCTAGTCATGGTTTATGAATAGAAAAATATTTGATTTTACAGTCATTATTGGTTTGGCTGGATTCAGTGGTGTACCTGCTGTATTATTATTGGCCTCCACTTGGCCATGAACACGGTATTCCCGCACAGGCAAGAGGAACAGAGGGAATCCCATGTCTCCCCACCTCCTCCGTTAAGTATGTTCACTTATTAGCGTCTGTCCTCCCTCCATGTGGTATGACACAGAGAGCATTTTTCATAGCCCATGACATTAATTGATGTGATTTGCGAAGGGAGAGCATTTAGTCGTGGGTGGGAGACTCCTAATGATCGTTTTCCACTTCCAGTAGCGCAGTCATTGACTCAATTTTATCGCAAATTTGTCGTCTTTTTTCTTTTCATCTCTGACCATCACTTAAGTAATAAAGGGGAACAATGAGAGGTGGAGCAGGTCTGTTGTGAGGAACCGTGGGAGTCTGGTGTGCCTCCTGTGTTAAGGTTATGAATGTGGGTCAGCGAACTGATGAAGACAGCTGGTTTGTTACACAAGGATCTACAGGGGGCTGCGCTCTTGGCACCGGGCACAGGGGCGTGATCATAGGGAATCCCCATTGCTCTGGCTCAGGAAGGCTGTCCCTGAATGGAGGCTGTCCCTGTGCCAGGGTAGGGGGCAAGCTTGGGCACACAGGCCCTCGTGATACTTGTCAGCCACTTGGCAAGCCCTCAATATGTCCTGCTACTGTTTAGTGCCGCCGAGTCAGTTTGTCAAGGGAAACAGTGTTACAGTGCTGAGGAAGGATACGCTGAGGCCTTGAGAGAGGCCATCTAGTGTTGTTTCAGCCTTCCTGGTAGTTTGCACATACACTGTTCACATAGCCAGCACTCCAATAGATATTGTAGACTGATCAGACATAAAAATGTGATGAAAACAAGAAGAACCTGAAAATTAAAAATTGATCAAAATCATCATTCTTGCTCATTTTTTCCTTTATTTTTTTCCTGGTAAATTACCAGGCAGAGGATGTATGTGACGATCACGTTGTGTGAGTGAATGGATCACAGTGGAGTTAGCTGCTGGATGGTGCACGTTGCTCATCTTGCCTCCTAGAACCCCTACTGCCAGCTCAGCACACTCCACAGTAATTGAAGCCATTTGCAATGTTGCAGTGTGGTAATGGGCAGATCCATGTCTACCACCCACCCACAGCCTCTACCATTAATCAGAGCTGCGTGGAGTCAAGAGAGCCAGGATTTGGTTGCTACAGCAGGCCTGAGTTTCAGCCAGGAGTCGGTTGCCTTAAAGGAACACTTTGACGTTTTTTAATTTTAGCTGTTTTTTTGTTTTTTTTCAACACACAGTTGTCGGGTTTAGGATAAAAGTTTTGGGGATTTCTTCTTCAACTTCACTCACTCAGGGTCCTAGTATTGTCAGAAAATCACTGCTGTGATTAAATCATCAAAGTAGAGCTGAAACTATAAGTCAATCAGTCAATTAGTTGATCAACAGGAAAATAACTAATTAATCATTTATATGATTGTAAACAAACAATCTGAGATGAAACAAGGAATTTGATTATGTTACCTATTTTATTATGATGGGCATTTTCACATTCATTTTTTTCCACTTCATTTTTTTTTTTTACACTAAATCATTGATTGTTAATTCAATCTAATCAGCAACAATTCTGACAGCTGATTAATTGTTCAGGTTTTTTCTCAAACAAAATGCCAGTCCTCTGGTTACAGCTTCTCCAGTTTGAGGAGTTGTGGTTTTTCTCTTTCATATAAGCGTAAACTGAATTTTAGACATCTAAAGACGTCATCTTCAACTCTGGGAAACTGGGTTCAACATTTTTTACTATTTATTTGACATTTTATAGACAGATAAATATATAGTCGGCAAATTAATCAATAGTTTTAATTGTTGTTAGTTGCAGCCCCTAATCAGTGGGACCTTGTAATTGACCAGAACAGGTATTCCAAGGGAAGTGAAAGACATTTTTCTTACAATGTGACAGGACGAATCTTGACCGAATATAATTCAACGTTTGACTTATCCTTACTATCTTTGGGATTGAAGATGGAGTCTCCAGCAAGGTGACAGCATTTGGTAAAGATGTAGGCTGCTATATATTGACAGCAGGCTGTCAGCTGGGATCAGCAGCCAAACACTGTTTCTCGACCCAGGTCCCTCCACAGCAGGCATCTGCCTTGCTGAAGCACCTCTTAGGCGCTGTTCTGTGGTTAACCCCTGACCTCTGACGACCGCAAAGAATCCTCTTCCCCATGAAATTAGGATTGCATTAGTATTACTATGAATCTTATGTAAAGACGCTCAGTGAAGCTCTTCCCCTGATATGGCTCCTGTTACTCGACTGCAATGAACAGGATCTCTTGCTTTTGAGCATTTCTGAGACACTATAAGAGGTTTAACAGGGACACCGCCCACACCACTAAATGTAGCAGTTCTGTGTCACCTCAGAGCAGTCCTGATCTTCCTGCCATACCCAGACAGAGAAGCAAGGTGGAAACAAAAGTGGAGGCAGGAAGACTTTAACATCGCCCTCAGGTCCCACACTATCTGTCCTTTCCATGAGCAGGCAGATGGGAGAGACGGAAACACGTCTCTGCACTACAAACAGACACCAGCCTATTTTAAGGTCACTTGTAAGTCTAGGCTTGTGCAGAGAACCAGCCAGCGTGATAGCACCAGATATTGTGAATTTGCCTCATTTTGGATTGCGCCCAATGATTGCACAGCTTTAGACAGGATTATGTGTGTAAAGCCTTACAAGCAGCGCCTGGTTTTGACTGTTCCTTTGATCGTTATTCTACAATAAAATGATCTTCAGTGTGACATTTTCCATTAGAAGAAATGTTGCCTAACACTATTGTGGGGTAGGTTCTCCCTATTAAAAGCGAAAGAGAAAGTCTGAGCATTTTTCTCATACCTGTCGTGAGAGTCAAATTTGCCACATGACTCGTGAACTATAACCCAATATTCAGTGTAAAGTTTGTTGTCCCCCAGCTGCCTCACCCCTCTGCTTCCTTTAAAGTGCTGCCTCTGAGGGGTGAGGGACCTTGTTTTGGACAGGCAGGGGATTCTGGGATCTGCAGAGGCGGTACATTATCTTCCACTAAACCACAGGCCAGAGGGGCCACCAGGCCACGACCTATCATACAGACAGGTCACTTGACTCCATTGCCCTCACTTGATTATTGGAGCCCTGTCTGCTGGCAATCCTCATTCACAGAAAGGACCTGACGAGGTTCAGGCACTCATCTACTCATCTCCCAGTTATTATTCACCATCTTCCCCAGCTGAGCTCCACCTGACGTGACCTCTTGGCTAACCCAGACACACTGAGGTGTCACTCTCATAAGCTTAACATGTGGGGAGGATCAAGAACAGCGTATGAGCCTCAAAATAGTTGAGTAATAATTTCGTAGTACTATCCTTTTTATGTTTAAATCTTTCCAATTTGCAAATTGGAATACAAATAAATACTCTACTTTAAGAATTGATAGGAGTTAAATACAATAATTTGTTCTTTAAAAAGCCTGAAATATCGCAGCCTTGAATAAGAAATTTTGTCTGAAATGTAAATGAACCCTTCTGATTTGTTTCTGCATTGATGGTAGGTGAGTGCACTTGATGTGCGTGGCACCGGTAAAGCGTATTTCTTCTCCCAGATCTCCTCCAAGATGCCGGAGGATACAAAATGTGGCTCCCTGATGGTGAAAACAGAGACAGCGAAGGCCTGTAAAGCAGCTGCAGCAAGAGGTCTAAAGCAGTAATGTTTCTATCCAGGCATAGTCAGATTCGACCCCTGACTGTGAGACCATTCTCTCTACAGATTTGGACCATTTCAGTAGTTGGCTTTCTTTTCAAAAGATTAGCTTTCCTACGCAAAAATCTTCTTGAGCAGCTGTTAATGTAATTACTCCACATACGGAAATACCAGAATATCAGTGATTCCCTGGATTACGGAGCAAGGCATTGTCTTATGTACACCCAAACATGTGAGGACACAAGTTTAAAGCCTGCAGGATTTTGTTGCCTTGGAATGATAATTGTGAATTTGTTTTTGGTTTTTTTTTTTTGTTTTTTTGTAAAGGGAGGGGAAGCTGCAGGGAATCAGCGGTTGTCAAAATCTAAGAAGTGATATTGTCATACCAGCCGGATGGCCGTCTGGTGTTTGTTTAAAAGGGGAGGGAAGAAAAAAAAAAAACGTCCAGGCGATTGAATCATATCTTCTTGCCAATACGTCCTTGTGTTCCCACCTCCATCATTACAGCAACATGTTTTATTTTCAGCAGTGCTGTTCTCAGTGACTCACATCCCAGAGCCATGTGCTGCTCAGTTAGGCCTCAGATCCCTTAAACATGGACCGAGCGGTCATGAGAAATGCTCTAGCAATGCACCAGAGCCTGAACTTAGACTGTACTAAGTTTATGTAAGATATTGTTAGAATAAAAACATGTTGTCTAATAAACTTGTGAGGTTTAACTGTTTTAAGTTATACAATCTTGTGTCAGACTGAAAACAAACCTGGATTTTAAGTAAATATGTGTAAATATGTGTAAATACTAATAAATATCTGTCTATGTGTCATCCTGCTCCCACAGGTAAATGGGATCTTCAGGACTTCATCACAAGGTTTGATTTGGGAGAGCCTGTGGCCACTTTGCAGTTTCTCACCCAAAACTACAAAGACTGAAGGATGGTCAGACACCTGAAAGAAAATGTGGAGGAAGAATCTGTCATACAATTATATAAAATAATGTTTCCCTACTTTTCCTGAATTGAACAGCATCATTTCTTCAAAGCTTGCAACAGGTCAGCCCTCTTTGCATTTATCTTATCACTGAGTTAGAAAGAGACTTCCTCTGTTCCTCTGTAGCACCAGCTGCTAGGTTTTGATGTTGCCCTGTATCTCTGTCTTGTGGTCTGGAGCGAAGGATTTGGGAGATTTTTGACCACAATGGGGATTTCTTATTAGTTTCCGAACACTGTCGACAAGAGAAGGAAGACGGCCTGATATCACAATTCAGTGTGGAAAGAGTTGATTCTAATTCAGGGGCGGAAACACGTCAGGGCCAAAAAAAGGAAGTGGGAGGTGAAACCGAGACCGCAACACAGCCGGATGCTGCAGTGGAACTTGAACCAAAATACTCTACAGAGTGACAGGACAGGGGGAGGGGCTGCAGGGAACTTACTGTTTGTGTAATTGTTTATCATATTTCCATTGACCACTGTCACCTCATCTGGAAACAATGAGCTACTTTCGGGTCCTTTATTGATTTTTCTGAAGTAAAAACGGCTCTATCAAAATGCTGAAGTGTCCTTGAATGAAACTTTGGAACACTGAACCCATTTTGAACTTTGGACAGTTGCATAAGAGGCCCACCTGGTAGGTCTGTAGAGGATGGTGTGAAAACTTAAACTTTTCAACCCTTTCACGAGGAGATACTTTTCAGACTTCACGGGTCTTTGTAGAGGGTGGGTCAGAGTACCCCCCATGAGGAATATTGGTTTCTAACCAGCAACTCTCCTCTGGGAGGGGTTTGTATCAATACCCCAGATGTCTGAAAAAGGCTGGATTTACATCAGGGACTTTGATGTTCTGATGATCAATCTTTAGTTGGTGGTTTCATTGACCCTAATTTGGTGTCTCATCAGTGGGCTAGGCAGGAGTAGGTAATGGAGGTTTTTGTTCCTTTGGTGGTTAAGCCAGCCTTGGTAAACCCCTATGTGCCCTCTCCGTGAACTCTGGGAGATCATTGATCAAATTGCCCTGCATCTGCTTTGTTTGCCTCCCTGACTTAGCAGTCAAAGCAGCCAGGTCCACAAACAAACAACCAAAACAATGCACATATGCTCAGAGTTAGTAAGACAGTCCATTGCTTTTGAACAAATGTTAAGTATCCCTCACTTGGAATATCGCTCTTGACCTTGATTTACCCATCTTATTTGACTTATGAAATCACAGTTTTTAACAATTGGCAAGTGGAGTATAATTCCACACTCATTGTGAAGCATGCCAAGTGGGAGAGCATTCTTCCAAAAACCACCTACTTGAATCCATCAGTACACCATTAAAAGCCAAGATTTGTACTTCCAAATACACTGTGCATTTTTTTCTCCTTTATATCTTGGAGATATCCTGCCAAAACAGCTGGGTTTTGCCACTCAGCTTCCTTGAATGTGTTTATTTTTACTCCAAATATCAGGAGAGTTGAAATATTATGATTAAGAACAACTGACAGCTGTAGTTCAACGGTGCACAGTATATTGCCTTCTGTGAAAAAAATAACTTCTCACATCCCCTGATGATATGGGAAAGGCATTTAATATTTTCTTAATTTATTCAAACTTACATTAATTAAAAGGAATTTGTATAATCAATTCAGTTGCCTAACCGGCACTAAGTGATCTAATATGCATGATGACTTGAGTCTCCATTCTTCTTTTCTCTCTTCAGCTTAAGAAGTGCAGGAGATTCATTTCACTGGAGAATTTCTGCAGTGCATCACTCGCTGTGAGCAGTGGCGAAATGGATTTGAGTGTGACATCTGTTCAATGCATGTCAACAGTATGGTCCGCTGACCACTTTGCACATTTTTATTTACTGGGCGTTTGACCTCAACAGACTGGTATTGTTCTGCAAGACTGACTGCAAAGATTCAGTGTAGTTCACTCCAACTGGAGATTTGAGTCCTGCCTGTGAAGAAAATTCACATGAATACCCAGGTTTTTGGCTGTACTGAATACTCGTCTACACTCACCAACAAGGAATGCAGAATTTTAAAATGCACCTTTTGACCTCTAAAGATTTTTGCTGAGGTGTCTGCACTGGCCTTGTGTCTTCAATGTTTTTATCGCTCCTATTAACTGTGAAAACTAAAACTCTGTATATATACACAGATGGCTAGCAGACTGATAATAGCTCAATGATGTTCAACTGGAACTAGGAATAGGAAATAGGAAACTCTATGAACATACCTTTACAAATGATATGATGATGAAAATGAATCAAAAAGCTTCTGCACATTTTTTTTATTATCTGCTCCTCACAAAACGCACAATGTGTGAACAGATTTTTGTTTTATAGTCAGGCATGTTGTCACAGACTTCCCCTTACTTTAACTTCATTTCAACCACATATTGTCCAGTGGGTAAAGTTGAAATTTGATGCTGCTCCTCGTCACTAAAAGGCTTTTAGTGTTTAAAAAAGCAATAGATTGGAAATATGAAGTCTTCATCTGACAGCAGTACTCGGGCAGTGGTAACAGCAGATTGGACTCCAGTATTAGAATATATTTCTCATGTCTTGCTGTAAGCGCTGGAAGCTACACAATCATAATAACAATAGAAAAAGTGATGTAAAATAATGGATGTAAAGTCACTGTTGGTATAATTAGGAACACGTTATCTTTATAGCTCTTTAACCAACAGCAAGGAACAACAACAATTTTAGCCTTCCCCATGAAGCTTGGAAAAAACAAAACTAATTTGACTATACATCCACAGTGCCTGGGCAGTTTTCCACGGTGCTTTAAAATGAGCTGATGCTTCCATGGAATCCCCATATGCAAAGGAGCCGGGACACTGCAGTCAAAGAGCTCTATCGCCGCAAGCCATCAACAAACACTGCAGGCCTGCCCCATGTGACCCAGTTCACAGTCGAGGAAATAAGCCTGCAACAGGTAGGTGTTCCAGATGGGCTGGCCAACTTTCCAACCACAGAGCCACACAAACGCTTCCCCCGAGCAGAGACACTATAGTACAGTCAGTCCTCAGCCTGTCCTGAGGGGATCCTCTCATTGGTTTGGAGCCATAATCACGACAGTTGAGACAGCATTTTCCACGGATCTCCCACTGCATTGATCAACCTGTCCAACTTCATAGTGTGGACAAAATAACAGGAACAACAGACAATATAACACAATCTGATGCAATAATCCTGAAATAAATACCTTTGTTTTTTAAGCTTCTAATATTCTTTATGTTTAAACTGTAATTTACGAGGGCATAGGTCATGGCATTGTTTTGCATTATATTGTACTGTCAGGCGTTCCTGTTATCTAGTTTGGATTTAGCACACACAATCAATGCAGAAAAATAAGGTATGTGCTATAAGCAGACTGGTTTCAGAGGATATTTCACCATTTAACAGTGGAATATTCATTTGTTTCTGAAGCAGTTTGTGTGACAGAAATGAAACTTTTAATATTCTGACCATAACAGTTGTGTCCCTTCTAAATTATGTTTTGTATCTTTACATGAATTTATGTTGTAAATACATATATGTAGCACAACATTAAGAGCCTCTTATAAAACACATACATAAAACTGAATTTTAGACAGATTTGAAAGTCACTGTGTCACAAGCTACTGTATACACAGGGACAAAAATATTCACATACATATAAAATCACTGAATCAGTGTTTGAATAAGGCCCAGTATTAGCTGTACATACAGTATGCAGATAGACACTGTGCAACTTTTAGCCTCAACTCTGACAACACAAACACAAGACATGACAATTTTAACTTGTGTTGCCTTTTGACCTGCACTTATGTGCAAAAAATGATGCAGAGAACAGGCTAAAGGAGTGAGTCAGTATGAGGCAGAGGATGAAGTCGACATAAAAAATCTATCTTTGGTCAGACAAAAGAGATGTTGTTCAACTTTGAATCAAGTCCATCAGGAACATTGTTGTGTATTTCTCTGATTCAAGAGACAAGACTGGGAGAAAGGCACCCTGAGAGGACTCTGCTCTGCCCGCTGGTGTGACTGCTACTCTTAAAACACACACAGACATACACACAGAGGACTTGCCTGTGGTAATGAGACACACAAGATCACTGGCTGCTCTGTTTGTCTAAGCCCCCTAAACACCGAGCATGATTCAGACTAATTCTCCCACACACTCTGTTTACACTTCTGGTTCATTGAGGTACTATTAATTTCTCAGGTCTGAATATTCAGGCACTGACATTTCATTCAGTATTTTCTGTGGATTTCGCAAAAGCCTGTGTTTTATATTGCCACATCTTCGGCAGAAAATAGAAAATGTTCTTACCAAAACTAAGCAAAAGGAGTTCAGTGGGAGTGCAAAAGCTAATAAATATGATGTGATAGTGAGATACATGTGAGATCAGTAAGTGACCCCAGAGGCTTTCAGTCTTTCTTGGATTTCTGTGTAATAAAACAAATTACAAGGCGTTTTTTTTTTCAAATCGTTTTAAGGCAACCAGAGGTATTTTTTCACAAGTTGGTAAATTAGTGAAAAGCGAGCCATGACGCTTTGTCCACTGTCATCTCTTTAAACGTCTGTGGCTTCCGATCACTTTTCCACTACCACTTCACCCGGAACTCACATGTCCAAATAGAGACATGAAGGGGCGGGGCCGGACACTGCCTTATTTGGAGTTTCCACTTAAGCGATCAAGTTGAGTTCCAAGTCAAAGCAAGCCTCTGGATTTACTAAGCCCTTGCAATATTTACAAGCGATTAAGTCCGTCAATTAGTGTCTTTGTAAGACCGTATTGCTGCATGAAAAGGGGGAGTTTGAACCGGTGTTCTGCAATATACAGGACACAAGGTGTGTGTGTGTGTGTATGTGTGTGTGTGTCTGTGTGTGTGTGTGTGTGTGTCTGTGTGTGTGTCTCTCTCTGTGGTGTGTGTGTGTCTGTGTGTGTGTGTGTGTGTGTGTGTGTGTGTGTGTGTGTGTGTGTGTGTGTTCACCAAGAGCCAAGAACAAAATCAAAGCACTTGGGCTGCAAATTCATTTTTCTATCTGAGCTTCTTTGGAAAAAAGAAGCTTGAGTGTAAAGCCAAAAAATAAATATATTCCAATACCGAGTCAGTAATGGTGGACTATTAACAAACAGTATGTGGGCCTAACTTATGAAATAAAGTAGTCTGTTTTATGAGTAACACCCCCTGTAGCCACAATACACTCTCCTCACTCGCCCTCACACACACACACACACACACACACACACACACACACACACACACACACACACACACACACACACACACAGCCGCATAAAGAGCTTGCAATGTACCTGTTAGTCTATTAAAGACACCATAATGCCTGACAATAATAAAGATAACGCGCTGTTCAATCACTATAATGTTTTCCACAATGACAGAGAGAAAGGAGAACCCCCGGCTCATCCCGAAGAAGGACACAGCTGGAGGTGACATGTGGATTTTTGTAAACTTTGTAGCTACCTATCTGTCGGAGCCTTTTGCCTCCACAGTAGTTTCCACCGACTGACGCGCGGAGAGCCTGGTGCTGGGCGCTCTGTCCATATATGGTCATCTACGTCACGCAAATGTTCCATCCCCCTATTTAATACAGGCAGACTGGAGTCCCCTATCCAGCTCCAATAGAGCAAGTAGAGCCGCTCTTGTGCAACCAACACCACCACCTCCTCCATTGATTCACAGACTTCAAATTCCCCCACAAGCAGCCCATCAGCTTCCACAGTGATCAGATTAATAACAACAATAGCCTGTGATCACACAGGAGGAGATAACCGGCGCTGCTCGTCCTCCGCGGGATACTTGGATAGCTACAGCAACAGGATCCATCCCTGCTCCTCTCTGCTGTCTTTTTTCACGTCTGATCTACACCTGTGTTTTCCACTTTGAGAACACCCGCTGTTTTTTTGTGTAACTACTTGGATACCTGCGCGTTGTCCTTTATAAATGTCGGACTGAATATAACTGCTATGACAGGGAAACTAGCGGACAAGCTCCCTCTTACCATGAGCAGTTTAATAAACACGATCCCTGACAGTCTCTACCCAGAAGAGGACATCCCGACGTCTATGAATATTTTCACCAGTACGGAATCTATTAACCACTATTCACAGATGAACACAGGTAAGATTTTACTCTACTTTCGGTGTGTGTGTGTGTGTGTGCGTGTGTGTTTTGATTAAAGTGGTTCAAACTGCGTTGTGCGCGGAAGGCAACAGTTGTCTTGGGGCTTGGAGCACCTGTTTGCGCTCTGGCTGTTGCGCACAAAGGCAGATTCCCGTCCTGAATACTTTTTCGGGGTCAGGTGTAACACACCCCACTGTGAATTAGATACACATTTGAAATAGGGAACTTTCAATTCGGCCGTAAGATTTTTTTTCTATTTCTTTTTTCTTTTGTCCGTAGCCGAAATGTCAGGATTTCAAACACAACGCGAAAAGGGGCAACTGTAGGCTACTCGTTTCAAAACTTAAAAACAAAAACATGGGCATAGGATATTGCATTTAAGCAAACCTGCTGTATTTATAGTGATTCTGATTCTCCAAAGCTGAGGCGTATTTGAGGAAATGTCTGTGATGTGACTGGTTGTGGAAAAAGGCTGTTTTACGCACTGATCATTAAAACGCAAACGGCCAGTGATTTAAACTGAAATATGTGGAAATGTATCTAATTAAAAGGGTTCAACTACTAATGTAATTTATTAATCTAACATCTATCGCAATGACGGCTCAACTTCTTTAGACAATGACTTTCATTCACAACTCTATTAACATGTCACAGATTGGATTTTTGTAGGCGTGTGTAGCTGTTTTTTTTTCCTATATGAAACATGATTAGACGCCAGGCCGGTGAACCATCTTATATTGAGTAAAAAGCGAGGCCGGAGGTATTGATAGATTTATTGCTTAGTCCAGAACATGTATTTCTGATGAATTCAGACGCCATCATGAAGCTGACTTGTTGGTTCGGCTCAGTGTTGTAGATTGGCATTAAATCAATTACTAATTGTCTAGACTCACCTTCAGAGGTGATGGGTCAATGCTTCTCGAAAAACTCTAAATCTTTAGTTTCCTGATGTGGCTGAGAAGATCAGCACGTGATGCAGTGAACAAAGATTCACGTTCACCTTGTTGAGCTTTGTTCAGTTTTTATGTTTCAGTTTTTTTTGTTCACAAATTAAAACAACACCTGGGTTTGAATTAAAACCCGAAATATTCCCCCTGATTTAGCGAAGAAGTGTGCGTTTAAATGATCTCAGCGCCAGCTCTTAATAAAATAAACAGTATAGGCTATAATTATTTTTTACCTATACGTATATATAGAGTCTCGATTAATTAAATATAAGCGACTTTTAAGTTTATGACATACATGTGTTATATTTCATTTTTCTATAAACATGGCAATTAAATGTATATTATGTGACCCCTGACAGGAGATATTTAAACAAACGGGATGAATATGGGGGAAAAAAAGATGCTGCAGAGTACAACTGTGTGTTGCTGTTTTAATTATATCTGCTCTTGGTGAATTTCACATTAAAAACAGAATATATATATATACAATTTTTTCTGCACATATGCTTTTTTTGGAAATAGTCACTGATATATTTTTGTTAAAAGTACCATGCTGTGATTTAACAGGTGGAGCAGGTGTGTGCTGGTCTCCTCAGTACTGAAGTATAAGAAAAGAGTGATGACTTTATTTCAGGCCCCTCATTCTGTTTAAATATCACACTACTCAGATGACCTCCAAAAGACTAAAGATTCAGACTAAAATGCATTCATGTCAGCTCTGACTTCTTTTCTTCATGTCATACACATAAACAAAATTATGTCATTGTGAATCATTGCTTGTGTGTTGAACAGTATTGTGCCATATACATAATTTTGGTTTTGTTTGTTTCATTATAATTTGCCTTTAACCAAATTCCAGCAGGCTGTAATTAGTGGGAGTGAATATATAAGCACCCTTGTGTATGAATTCCTGCAAATGAAAAGTGACGTCTATTTTAACTTATGTAAGAATTCTTATCAAATGTCTCACATTTAACCTTCAGAGCATGATCAGCACATAAATGTATCTCCGTTAAACACATCTGCACTTGATGCTTTTTATGGCGTCTTTGGAATAAGTTATAAGTGTGTGTGTGTGTGTGTGTGTGTGTGTGTGTGTGTGTGTGTGTGTGTGTGTGTGTGTGTGTGTGTGCGTGCGTGCGTTCGTGCGTGTATGTGTGTGTGTTTGGTGAGAAATGTAGGATCCTGTAGAAGTATAATATCAGGTAAATTTGTTAAGCTAACTAAAGCAGAGATTGGATTGACACTTAAATTTTTTCCCCCGTTATTTGCAGATGTTCTTTGCTGCAAATGTGTTTTGAATCCTTGAGCATGATAGATGTGGCGTCTGCCTTATAATCCTCCCCGCTGTAAAGAAATCAGATCTTGCCATTCAGTTTGGCTGTACTCCTGAGGGACACAATGACTGGATCAAAGGGGGTGTTTAGGTCTTGATTTTTGAGAGCTTGTGGGATCTGAGAGAGAGAGAGAGACACCACTGTCTCAGATGCAGCAGTCACTCACTTAACTTACAGGTCTGACAGCGCTCACATTTCTTTATGAACTGTGTTGGACTTCTTGTATTTTTGATCTCTTGTTGGCACACTATTGACAGAAATATGCAAAAGAGCTGAATTTTGGACAAACCCAGGACTGTCACTGCAACTTCACATAGGTTGACAAAGTGAATTTTCTAGACTTTTTTTCATAACTTGTGCCACATGATCACTTTTACAGGCTTTTCTTCTCAACTGAATGCATTTCATATTCATGTTTGAACAACCACGTGGATGATTTGTTCATGATATCTGTTTTTTTATTTGCTTTATGTAGATAATATCATGGATCTGGGCATGGGAAGCGAGAAAGCAACCGCAGAGATTCAGTATGGATCCAGCTTCCAGTCCAACCGCAGCGGGCAGACTGTCACCTATCTGGGGAAGTTTGCCTTTGACACTCCTCCGTCAGGTGGCATTGGTGGCTCTGGCTGGTGCTCTGATAACAATATCATAAGTCTCGTCAGTGCAGGGATCCTGGGTGTTTCTCCATCACCCGGCACGGTAACAACGCAGACATCATCCTCCGCAGCCAGCATGGGCGGACAGACGTCAGATATGGAACAGGTATATGGTCCACCATTGCCTGCCTATTCCACATGCAGTGACCTGTACCAGGATCAGGTCTCCTTCCACCACAGCCCTGCCACCAGCACGGCTCTAGCCTACCCTGGCAATGACTATCACTCCACATCCAAAGCCTCCATGGATGGCAGCCTTTTCTCCATGATCCCTGACTACAACCTTTTCCATCATCAAGGGGAAGTTGGTGTGATGGAGCACAAGCCCTTCCAGACCATGGACCCTATCCGAGTCAACCCTCCACCCATCACACCCCTGGAGACCATCAGAGCGTTCAAAGACAAGCAGCAAATTCACCCAGGTTTCATCGGCGGGCAGCAGCACCCTCCTCAGCACCACCCACCACCACAGACTCTCACCCTGAAACCCATCCGACCACGGAAGTACCCCAACCGTCCCAGCAAAACCCCTGTCCATGAACGGCCGCATGCCTGTCCGGCAGAGAACTGTGACAGACGCTTCTCACGCTCAGACGAGCTCACACGTCACCTTCGCATCCACACAGGTCACAAACCCTTCCAGTGCCGAATATGCATGCGCTCCTTCAGCCGGAGTGACCACCTGACCACACACATCCGCACACACACGGGCGAGAAACCCTTCTCCTGTGAGTTCTGTGGACGCAAGTTTGCCAGAAGTGACGAGCGAAAGAGACACGCAAAGGTTCACCTGAAACAGAAGGACAAGAAGCCAGCTGACAAGAGCAGTGGGGCAGCTGGGAGCCACAGCTCGCCACCCAGCTCCTGTGGGGGGCCAACAGTGGGAACATCATGACCGTCACTACGTGCACTTGGACTGAACCCTCACCATGCCCCATAAAGAGACTTAGGAAGAAGGGATCACGTCCACTATGAGATAAATAGGTGACTTTTTTTCCTCTCTTTTACATCCCCTGCTCCTTTCGGTTGTAGTCCTTCTATTTTGAGATGGATGCCTTTAGTTTAATTAAGAGGGGAAAGGCTGCTACGCCCTTCTCTTTCAAGCAACTCAGAGCCTCAGCTACTGTAACACAGTGCCAACACAAAGAAGGGCACCTTGGCACATTCTGTCCAAAAGGCCACTGTGTATCTATATCTTTATCTATACTTTTAGGGTGGATACACTTTTGTAAATTTTACTGAGAATTTCTAAATTGGACGGAAGCCAGAATCCATCATAAGGGTCGAAACACACAATTATAATGGAGCTTAGCTAAAAGATGAGCTGTCTGGGATGTATGCATTAATTTTATTAGGCTGTTTAAAAGTGCAATTGGTTATATTTGTGTACTGTCATGGATACCTTATTAGTGGCACTTGACTGTCTTTCTGTTGTTTTTGTTGAGGTGTAGTGTTTTTTTTATTTTCTATTTGAATGTTGTTTTCTGAAAAAGAATGTGCCAAATGTAATGTGGTGATACAGCCAACCTGGTTCATATTATTGTGCCTGACATTTGCCAAACATAAAAGTGATATCAGCTTAGCACACACGTTGAGTTCAAGGATTCAAAGATCAGATTCAAACACCGTATCTTAGATTTAGATTTACCTGAACAGTTTGGTTAAATCTAGATAATGACAGAATGGGTCACACAAAGCAAACCAATGTCTTGTCCTGTTACCTGTACTTATAAAAGGAAACATGCCTGCAGCAATCAATGCCTTTGCCAATACTTATTTATTTGTAGTCACTGAGAGACACTGTGTATATTTGTTGCCTTTTTATATGGTGGCTTTTGTGGTGTTACCAGATATAATTTCTGTTGCTTTTTTTTGAAAAGCTCACCAATACTGTTCATTCTTTCAGTTTTCTTGAGTTCTGCAATTATATGCAATATATTCATGACATGTGTCACCAACCCATAAATCAAATTATCTAAGAGCACAGTTAGACAGAGTGAACTACTTAAATAAATGACACTGGGTTGAAAACCAGGAGTATATGAAAGCAAAGATGAATAAGGAAAAAGATGAATGAGGCCCCATGTCTGTGCTTCACAGTGTAAAAAGACTCAACTACTTGTTTAAATCAACAAAAGATGAGCAACATATGGTAGAAGAAAAATTAAAATTTCCAAATCCATGTTTACATCTTTTCTAATACAGAGAGACTGAGACTGAGTTGTAAACTAAGGACTTGTTTTTGTACAGTACAAATATGTATGCAGGTAGCTATAGTAGAAGTTTCACTTTTGTACTCAAATGTCAAATGCACCATAACTCAGTATTAAATTGTGCATATATGTGCATGCCTTCATGCACACTATGTAAATACAAATGTCTGCATAAACAAGAACTTTCAATTGACTGAATGCTTGTGCGGAATGTGTAAAGCTTTTAGTAATGTAGTTATAATACAAATATTTTGTTGTCATAGGTCATTGCAAAAATTTTTGTAGCACTAAAATAGTGCCAAATATGGTGTGTTATCTTCCATTTAAAAAGAAAGAATAATAGCATTTGCACCATCTGTACGCTTTAAAGTGGTAACTGGTTTAAGGAAGCACTAATGTGTTCTCTGAATAAATTACAAGATTTTTTACATTTCGTGTATCTCCATTATAGTTGCAATCAATTATTTCAATTAACACATCTTCCCCATTGTATAGAAAACAACGGTTGTTTCTCAGTAGATGTTCTCAGAGACTAAGTGATTGAATCCTTTCTTAAGCAAAATACACTACAGGGCACCGCAAATATTTTTCACATGTGGCTCCTTACTGATCTTTGTGCTGACAGAAGGGAATGCCTCATTTATCATTCAATGAGGCACTCTGTATAGGCTCATCTCTGCCATTGGCATCTCTTGGGTCTTAAGTGTATTATAATTATATTGACAACAATTTTGATAAAACTTTTCTTTATCTCCAAAATGTTGTTTTGCTTTACCTCTATAAAACCAGAAAGTTTTGTTTTTCAAGACTGTCTTATGGTTTTGAGGAGAAAAAAGTAATAACTGAGATATTAACATTGCATTTTCATCTCGTACTCTTTTGGTCAAAAACTGATTAAAAATAAGAAAAATGAATGAACAAGACTAATAATATATTGAGGTATGTACTTCTGTCAAGGCTAGCACAAAACACAGATGGCAAAAATATTGTTAGGGACCACACCAAACTCATTTGCATTTATTCCATTACTGTTTAAGGAGCAATAGCCTTGTCAATGTAGTCAAATAATTTCAGATTCTATTACAATCTTTAAAGTCTTTAACCCTGCTTTTAAAAGAAACATTCTTCTCTCCATCTAGTTTGACAGAGAGTATTTATGGTTATTGGCTGTGCTCTCTGACTATTAAGAAGTGTATTGTGTACGTGAGTTAAAGAATTTATATAAATATTGTTATCTGCTAGGATAAAAATATTGTACCGGTCAGCAGACACGGCAATAAAGAGAATATCGACTGACAAATGCAAAGGCCAAAAGAGAGGTTCAGAAAAGCAGTGCCACAGAGAACACAGTGCATACAGAAATGAGTTTCCAAGGCCATGCTTTCCCTTTCCTGTAACAACCAGTTTTCACTGCTGTGCTTCCTGGCAAGTGTCCACTTATTTTCCAATTAATTTGGCCTCAGAGAGTCTTTTCTCAACTCATCTACATGGTTAAATGAACAAACCTCCTAGCACTTTTACAGATAGTTTAAAAGTTCACACACCCTGCAATATCTAACTGTAAATCAATAGTTTTGTATAAGAAAAAATACATCATTTTATTGCATAGATGGTCATTGACAAATGAAAGTTTTCTGAGCTTATCCCAATAAAATGCAACTGAAATGAAAACCGTAACTTATCAAACACTTGAAATGTGAACTTTTTACACATTACATTACATAGCATTATTTCGGATCCCAGGTAATTACCTCTAAAACATTAGATTGGGATTAGCCAGGTTAAATCTTGCAATGAGTGGTGGCCTCTATCTTTAACGTCCTTAAGATGTGCATGGAGTCAGAACAAAATAATATTTGTAGTAGATGAGGTAATAAGAAAAACAAAATGTTTATCTTTATAATGTTTACCTAGAATAATTTGCTGTTAGACACTTATCATTATAGACTCGATCATTTTGACTTTATTTGACCAAAAATTATGCTCTTGTGTGCTCTAGATTTGACACTTTGCTGGTGAGAATGTTTTTTTTTTTTTTTGTTAAATTATAGCAGGTTATGTAGAATGTGGCCTCCTTTAAGAGAAAACTGTGTTTATGTTGCTTTGTGTTAAGGATTGATGCAGAGTAAGGCGGAGACTACACCAAACTATTTCCACGTCTAAATGAAGCCATGTAATTACAACTTTGCAAACTCAATATTTCATCAGTCATATCATCTGACTCTGTCACTTTTCTTCTGTGACATTTTTGTAATGGACGGATAGATTTTGTAAAATTTGTATGATCCCATTCCCTCAATATAGTTTGGTGGTTGAACAACAATACAGGATGTTCCTCTGAACAATAATCCTTCTGTTAAATGTATGAATGCTATAGATATATGTCAGTGACTTGTTAAACAAACTCAAAAAACACCCCCTCCTAATAATGCTTCTCAAAGAATTATTTATTTTTATGTTTTTTATGTTTTACTGTCCAAAAGTGGGCAGCTGAACGCTCTGAAATTGGAATTTGCCTCATCCTCGTTCTCTGCTCCATGTTGGATCTGAGCCAACATCAGCAGCCATCTTTGTGCCAAACTGGGTTGCAGGGTTGGCTGATCAAAAACAATACGTGATGAGAACTCCACAGGAGCAACAAATCATAAATGTGACCTCAGTCTGCTTGCAGTTGAAGGCAGCCTTGTGCTAATGTTTGTGTTTAACTGTTTAATTTAGTCTCCGTGAAGTTGGCCTTGGGCAAGGCAATAGGCTCGGGCTCACTCATGACACAATAAAAATTACAGGATTTCAAAAAAAAGAAAAAAGAAAAAAAAAGGACAACTCACGTTTGAAAAGATTTCAATAATGTGTAGATATTATAGGCTACTCATGTCATCTTATGGACTACAGTGTGGCTTCAGGGATTTTGTGGTCTTCAACAGTGACACTATGGTGTTCAGATGGAGTCAATACTCACTGTTTTCTGTTGTGTTGTGTTTCCTTTTCATTACAGTATATCCTCATGTTTGCATGTGCACGGAAATGTTCCGAAGTGCTACCTTCAGATGCTGTCGGTGGCGCTCATTTCTTTATTATGCATGAAAATAAAAGTCACATTGGGTGAAATGGGATAAATCTAACAACAACTCAAGACAGACAATTGGAAACACACACTGGGATAACTGTTCTGTTGGCTTTTTTTTCATTTTCTATTTTTATTTTTTTAAGAAAACAAGGGGTCTTGTTTAAAATGTTGTGGATGTCTTTAGCCTATTTCATGTTTTTATTACCTTATAATAAGGTCCTTTTATGATGAGCTGAATATTGAAATGAATTTTACTATATCCTTGTGATGGGGAGATGTACTCCCCTGTTTACTTGGCACTTCAGTTTGTTGTAATGCAATTGTTTTGTTATTTCTATGTAAGTACTTGAATAAAGAAAAATATCACTTGCCTTCAGTTTACTTGGGTCCCCGCGTGCACGCGCTCGATCGCACGCCCGTGCGCGTACCCAACACAAACACACAAGCAAAATGAAACCAATAAACATTATTTACGAACGTTTTAAGAAAACGTTTTACACGTGAGCATTCACCGTCTGGTATTATTACATTAGCACATGATAGTAACTATTCACTTTGCTCGTTTCTGATAAAGAAAAAAAAACTCCTGAGAGGAAACACGAACTGCTAAGCTCCGGACTTCCTGTTCAATGCTCTACAGTTGACTGGTAGAAAGGGATGAGGTCCTCGGAAGATAATAAAACAACCCTATGAAACCGGAATAAAAGTTCACTCAAAATGAGCTGGTATGTATTCTGGTTACATCATTAAATTAAGGTACTAGCAAGATAGAAAAATATAATTTGAAAACGACACATTCATAATAACCTAAAACTGACGGCTCGTCGTCCGGGCTCCGACTATTTCCCGGAAGCGCTACACAAACAGTAATAGAACAGGAGTTAGCGCTAGCTTGTTAAACTCACGGATGACGAAAAAAACATGTACATACTTTTCAGACATACTCGTTTTATAACATTTCACATGTTGATACTTTGCCCAAAAGTGGTGTGTGTTTTATGAAACAAAGCAAAGCGGTTGCAAAGCGACCGTTGTTGCAAACTTCGACCTGTTTGGTAAAGTCTTCAGCCATCAGTGGCTAAGCTAGTCAACGATAGTTAGGTTGGAAGGCTGAAAACATTAATGAAGTCATCTCCAGAAATAAAATTAGCTACTAGCTGCTTGTTTATACTGTTTGGCTATAGCTAGGTTTATTATAGAAACACAATATAGTTAAATGTCAGGTCAGCAGGGTCAGCAGTGAAGCCATTTAAAGGGAAATGAAGTTGACAGCAGTCAGTTGTCTCTGGCTAACGTTAGCATTTTTGAGAAGCACTTCTGTACCACTGAGGACGATTTCTGTTATTATGTCTACTCCTGTTCGGACATAGTTTTGATGTGGTGGCGTTGTATGGTCTATCATCTATGTATGTAGCATACAGTAATGAAGAATTGATAGTATTTCCTTGAATATAGGTAGATGTTTACTGCGACAGATCTGTGGGTTTCATCAGGTATATTCTTGGACACCCATTTATTTAAATGTGTAAAGAAATGGCTTTCTTCCTTCCTTATACATGCCTTAAGTTTGGGCTAATAAGCCACATGTTTGAAGTTACTTACTGCTAATGTCAGGTTTTAAGGGCACAGTTGACATAGTTATGTCTGCAGACCCTGACTCTGACCTGTGTTTACTTGGAAGCACCTGTATTATTTATCAGTGTAGCCCGACAACTAAAGTCACTTTAATCAGTATTACAGTGGAGACAATTAGTCAATGGAACAACTAGATGACACACAAAATCAATTGCAAAAAATATTGATGACCAATTATTTATTTTTCAAACAAAAATGCCAATCATTCTCTGATTCCAGCTTCTCAAATGTGAGAATTTGATGCTTTTCTTTTTCTTAAGTAATAATTTGGTCCAACTGGTTGGACAAAGCAATCAATTTCAAGATGTCACCTTTTGTTCTGATAGGCAGTTTTCACCATTTTGGTTGTTATTTCATAAAAATTAATAGAGAAAATAATTGGAAGATTATCCAATAATGATAATAATAGTTTCAAATCTAATCAGCAAGGAATATGAAAATGATTATCAGTTAATTGTGCAATATATATATATACACACACACACAGTACATACTTGGGTCCCTTTGAAGATTTGGACAGTGTTTACTGTCAGAAGACAATGAAATTAACTAAAGTAAATGACAACAAGTGGAGTGAACAGTTGGTCTTATGACATAGTCTGCATGGATGAGCTGCACATTTATTAACTGAGTCCTTGAGTCTTGTAGTCAGAGATCTTCCTTCTCGCTTGCAACCTCCCTGAAAAGTGAACAACAGCAAATGAGGCTGTGCCATCATTTTCAGCCAAATGGCAACAGGAAAAAAAGTATTTGTTCACAACAGAATATGTTTTGTGCATTTCTGATTCGTGACTTCTCTCAGACAAGGTATGTTTATTTAGATAATGTTTCAACATGGCACAATATGTAGCAATTAGCTTTACAGGCCTACATCAGCATTAGTTCTGACTCTAGCCGAGTTTTCCCTGGAGACAAAGAAAAACTCCCAAAACCTTCGCTTGTAAGAAAAACTTTGCTCAAGGGTGTCTGAGAGTTTATTTATCATTGGCTCCACTGTTTCTCCTCATTTTGACTCTTTGTGTAAATAGCTAAAGTCTTAGACTGTAACAATTGTACATACATCTGTACATTGTATTCTTTACTGTGGTAGGACTGTATTGTCTTGTCTTCTTTGGCAACAGGTTGTTTCATGTTTCCTGGGAAAGATTTGTTTTCTGTCACTGGGAAACAGGTTTCCCACCAGGTCCAACAAGGTGTGTAACCTATTCCCGTGTCACATAGGGAGTGAAGTGTCATTGTCTTTGATAGCGTGTGTTAAGTGTTGATGAGTTGGGACCTTTTGGTTATTTGACAAAAATGTATGCAAAAAGATAGCCACTGTTACTGACAGTAATAGTTAATTTGGTATATCTTCCTGTCATTTTAGGCTTTCGAGCTATGCAGGCAATGAAGCTGGGCTTGGTCTCTACTACAACATCTAGGAAGTTTGCAACCCAACAGCCACGATAGTTGTATTCTGTCTTTTCCTTTGGACAGTACGTTTTGAATTTCACTCTATTACTAAGGATTCAGCTATAACTATAATTGATTTATTTTTTAAGTATAGGAAAGTTTGTCATACCAGTCCTCAATTGTGCATGGCTGTTGAGTTTAAAAAGAGGTCTGCGTAAAGTCAGTGCTTGTTTCTAACTATTCATGAATGCAGTTCAAGAGGAAATGACAAACTCCTTCAATACGCCTGTGTATGTGCATTAACTGGCTTTATAATAGGTTACACATTCATAGTGTCATTTTCAAGGAAGACCGTAATCAAGTAAGCAAGATGGCGTCACTCAGTTCAGTCAGACAGTAAATAGCTGGCAAGGGATGCTTCCACCAGCACGCACTGCCAAACACAAGGTCAAGAGTGGGGTGCTCGACCAATGAAAAGAGTCTTTTATGGGCTCTGCTGACTGATGCATTCCAGCATGGCCTGCACACTTGCTTCTATGACGTGAGAGCTTTGACTTTGGGGTCATCATCAGAACAATTCCACTTCCCAACATCTTCAACCAGCCTTCTGTGCTCCATGGAATATCCAAGGTCGAATGATGCACTACCCCTCTAATGGCATACACATTGGCAGTTTTAGTGAAAAGCCATTGGTTCTTCCAGTCAGTGCATAATGTGTCCAGGATAGAAAAGACTGTTATGTCTTTGTTCATGCCTACGTGCTTGCTTGATGGCAGTGACGTGCAGCCTATTAAAGCAAAGATCAGATAGCTCTGTAAATGCAAGTTGACCAACTTGTTGATAATGACAGCAAATGTGTAACAGAGCAGTTTTTTTATGCATCTTGGACTCAAGTGGGCATTGATTGAATATTACCATTTACCTCTCAAGTTACTGTGATTCTCTAAAAAAAATCTAATTCCCGAAAACTTACATATTTATATATCTCTTGAGTTATTTGTTGGTATTTACTTGAGTCAATGGTTAAGTGACTATTTAGATTCAAGTACTGTAACATTTAGAATATCAGCAGATTATATCAATCAAATTGTCCAAAATATTGAGTAGAAAGTACCAGGCCAGTGTTCAGCTGAACTACCCCACACCTGTCATCACTGGGCTTAGATTTCTTTTCATAAAAATTTGGACTTCAGTTTGTATAAAACACATGTTTTCTGTCTTGTGGCCGGATCTCTGCCATGTCAGACACTAGTTCTGGGTTCACAGGACCTGATTTACCAATGTTTCTAAATGTGACAGCCCCTACAAAAATATTGCTGTGTGAAGAAACATTAGAAATGATTCTCACAGTGACTACCATCCTCCCTCTTTCTCGTTCTCTCCCTCCGGTTGCCTGCTACATTTTCCCTCTCCCTCCCTGAAGCACACTTCACTCCATGTGTTTGCCAGTTCTCATGAGCAATTGAAGAGACTGACCGCTTTCCTTTGGCTCTTTGTAGAAGTGGATATAATCTGAATCTATAACATTAAGGACTCTCTTCAGCATTTTTTTCCAAGCAAATATAGCCTTTGGTACATTAAAGGGAAAATCCACCCTTATATAGTTACACTTTGAGTGACTCTCTTGATGTCATCGTGAAACAAATCCTTTCAGGGCTAGCTCTGCCAAAATGTAGCAAAAGAGAACATTGAAAGCAAAAAAATAAATATATATATTTAAATATATGTTTCATAATGCATTGAAGGCTGCTTGGAACACTGCAATGTTTATCCATAATGCTTCAATTGGGTATTAGCTGTGGATGTCATGATTTTCTCCCCGACACACCCACCAAATGAGAGGAAACGGCAAAAGCTGTTGCTGTGCAATGGTGGTAGAAAACCAATTGTCCATCCAGAGGGAAACAAATAGTAAAATGCAAAATTGCAAAATCACTTTGGATGCACTGCTGTTGCTCTCCAAAGACCAAATCGATAGTGAAGTGATAATGTACTCGGCAGTTGTCTTTAAATACAAAAAAATTGGCTGCTTTAGCACTGTGCAGCCGCTATGTTTCCTCTTTTTACTTAGGAGTTCTGTTATATTCCCATAAATTTCCGTTATAAATTTGGTTATTGTTACAATGGACACGCACACACTGCTGTTTTACATATTTGTTAGTAAAGCTTTATTTATTCAGCAATTTCACTCAGCAAAATCACTGTCAGTAATATGTCTCATCTTGTAAAACAGATCTTGATTTTAAGATTACTGACAGTATATATCATAATAAGACAGTCACACAAAGCCATCATCACACACAGTCACATTAAAACAATCACAAATATTAGCAAAAAAGCATTTAATGCCCCTCAGGTGAGTGAGTGTCATTCACTAGAATGAGTTCTTTCTAGGGGTACTGTGCACTGGTATCTATTAGTATATATGAGTCATGCATGTAGTAGTGTGTATTTGTAGTTTATACCGGAATTGCTGTTTCATCATTCGCAATCACTGCAAAATGATGTGGTCATAAGGAGAAGGTGATCACCCACTGTGAAAGTGTTAATGGGATATATACTCAATACGAGAAACTAGTGTTAAGTCAGGCAAGTCATAAACTTTTGGTGATTATTTGTCTGACCAGACTGAATTGATTCTGAAGTAGTTGTTTTCAGACTTAAATCTCACTGATAACCGCTCTTGCAAGATGGAGTCTGACTGTGTGAGGCTGCTGGTTCTCCTTATTTTAGCTTTGGGAGAACACAACCTAAGTTTACATCCAAAGAATTTTCCATTCAGTTATGCTGCTGTTGTGTTTTGGAAAAAGAATTCCCAAAAATTTCAAAGACAGATATGTACGTACGTGTTGTATTTAATGTGACGTTATAGTGTACTAATCAGGTAATCATAGAAAGGTGAGTCACATTCGATGGAGCTGAGTAAGTTCTGTGGTTATTTTCCGTGATGGCTCACCAAGAAGATGACACAGAGGGTGAAACTACTTTCCTGAGCCAAAAGCAACAAAATGTTCTTAGGCATTTGTAATAGGCTCAGATTTGGATGACTTGAGTTTGTCTTCAAATCTTCTTTGAAAGCAAGGTCAAGACTATTGATATGTTATACAACCTAAAGAACAGAAACAACACAGAGCCACCAAATCAAATGAAATCTATATTCCTGAGCCACTGGTGAAACCTGTTATTTATTTATTTATTTATTTATTTGTTCTTCTTTCTGTTGTTTTTTTTTTTTTTAAACTAGATTAATATTGCCGTTATTTGACCACGTTGAGTTTTGTGATTGAGCTGTCATCAAAAGGATCTTCCCCACACATCAGTAGCATTCCCTGGTTGCACAACGAGGCCCTACATCACACCCTCTCTTTTCCATCTCATTATTCTACACACCTTTCTTTTGACGCAGCTGCTGCCTCACCCTGCCTGTCAGCAGCAACTGTCCATCATATAGCTTAGATTTCAGGCCATTAGTGCCACATCAATGACAACTTGCAGCCAAGCACATTGGCAAGGCAGTGTTTTCTGTCTCATGGATTCTCAAGGCACTCTGATGCTCTGTAGCAACTTATTAAGGCATAGGCAAGGGTTTGAAATGGGGATAAAAGATTGTTTTAACTAAGAGGGAACAGGTCTCGTTTTCTTTTACCAAAACTATAGTTGCGATCTCTGTGTGTTTTTCTTTCAAGAGTGAGGAAAAGTTTGTATTTCATTCTGAAAATTAGGTGCAACTACTGCAGTTACACTAAACCTCATGGCATGTTTTGATGTTTATCTTTTACAGGAAAGTCAGTGTCCTGGTTGTATCCTGCTAAGTCCCTATATATGATGGTGTCTACCTGACACTTTGAAATAGGTTTACTATTTTCCTTATATGCAGTATAGCGAGTTCATCTGTGTTTGAATGTGGGCTAGGGTCATGCAGGAAACCCACATTGAGAAGAAACGACAACCGCTTCTGTTTATTGATATCCGCTTGCAATTGGAGCCAGATTTTTCAGTGATGATGTGAAGTAAATGTACATGGCTTTTATTGCATACTTGAGAGGAGCAGGCATTAACAGCTTCACATTGTCTTTTTCAATGATCTTAGAGGCGCTTGCTCCCCTTAGGACCTGTAATGACCTCTAGTCAGCCATTGTGCAACCAATGACCATCTAAGCATTCATTAATTTCAGCTTTTAGGTAGTCATTTGCCAGTTGCGTATGTCACCTACCATTTCTTTTTGTGCCATTTCAGGATTCCCTTCAAGATTGGACAACCAAAGAAGCAGATTGTCTCTAAAACTGTAAGTCACGAGACCAAACATACACTCAATTCACTCATTCACTCATCACCGAAAAAGATTTAGGGCAGAAATTTCAAACAAGTGTGTGTAACTTTTAAAAGCTTGCTCTAATGGAGCATTTGTAAAAAGATGCTTTTGTGAAAGTCTCTAGTTGTTAAGCTTCATGAATGATATACAACATGAATAGTAGTCTGAATAATGTCATCAGTGTGCCACAGTCAAAAGGGGGCAGAGGTGGTTACCTTGAAGTGACAATGAGTGGGTGCTCTCCTTGCTGGAGAAAACCACTTCCACTGTAATAGGTCTGTGGCCCGGCAGTCACTGTCAGACTGTTTCCAGCTTCCTGTGCCATCCTAAGCAAAAACCAGGGAGTGGGTTAGAGGAAGCCCAGTTAGATGACCCGCTAGTGACAAAGTGTCAACTGCCTCCCTCAGAGTTTTGGCCTCTGTGTTTAAATCCAGGAACCCACAGAACCACAAGACAGGAACTCCTGTGGTGTCTGTAACCAGCTTGACATATTTTAGAGACATGGTTGGACAAGCTGTCATAGCCCTTGTTCACTCTGGGAACTTGATATATTTCACCTGCATTTCAGCCACTGGAACCCATCTCCAGCTATAGTTTTAGTTATTGTTTATACCCCTCAAAAAGTCCCAGAGAAAGGACATGACTCAGTAACTTTTCAAGTAAAGATAGTAGTATGTGTGGTCAGTGGTCAGCCTTGTGACTACAACAGCTTATATGCAGAATTTATTCAGACTACAAACCCGCAGTGGTTGTTGTGGGTATGTATTAGGTATGTATCTTAGACTATGTGATAACTACGTGATTACCATGTTCATTTGCCTTATCATTCTTCAGATAATGTGGAAATATAATCCGAAAATTTCTCCCCAAATCAGTGACAGACTTACATATTCTCAGGCTCCGTGTTTATTGTTATTTGCTTATTGTGTGTCCATGCCTATTGATTAATAATTTTCTTTAATTAAACAAATAAGATGAACATACATGTTAAATAATGAATTTACTTTTTGTTTTTTAGGTTGAAAGAGACTTTGAGCGTGAATATGACAAACTCCAAAAGTAAGTTTTACATTTTGAACCAAGTTTATAATGTAATAAATATGATTATTAATATTACTAATATACTACTACCACTTGTATGTTGGAGGTCCATGTATGCATGTGTGTAAAACTTTTGACGTCAGTTTGGTGAAACATGATTTCTCCTACACTATATCTGTGCCCACATAATGCATTTTCAAATTTTTCTCAGAGGTCTCCTTGTGCCAAAAATTAATTAATATTCTATTTTTAGCTTTTTTAGAGGTAAAATGAAACAAGAGAAATAGTCTAATGAAAAGTGTTTTTATATAAAACTGAAATTGTAGTATAATAGATTTCTGTAACTTCTACTATGATGGGTATTTACTAGCCTGGTGCTGTGTTAAGAACAATGTGGGTTGCATGTTGCAATTTCCCCTTGTATTCCTTTGTTAAGTATTACAATAAGAAGTATAAAAGAAGTAAGAAGTATGTACCCCCAACAATGCAATAAAGATGTTGAAACATTGGGAGATCTTTTCACAAATGTATGTATGTTGATCCAAAATTAGGTTGTTGTAGTTGTTGTTGTTGTTGTTGTTGTTGTTGTTGTTGTTGTTGTTGTTGTTGTTGTTGTTGTTGTTGTTGTTGTTGTTGTTGTTGTTGTTGTTGTTGTTGTTGTTGTTGTTGTTGTTGTTGTTGTTGTGTGGTGTGCAATTGCTGTATAATTTTACCTACGATGTTGGTATTTTGGCTTTACATGTTTACAAAGCACTCTGAGAAACTCACACTTAACTTGCTCCTCATTGTACGGTACAGTTTCTTTGTCCCACACAATGTGTCAATCCCTGCTGTGTTTGGTCACTTTTTTTTCTCAACGTTGAACTGTGAAAGAACCCGCATTTGAGCTATGGTGGAAATTAGAAATTGGGAAAGAGAGCTTACTTTCCATCTGATATTTCTCTCAACCTTGGATAAACCTAGCTTTAAACTAAAAGTTATAATCTTACGAAATTTCCTGTAATTGTATCATTAGTGTTCACAAATTCAGAAAAAGCTTAAATGTCCAAGTATTTGATTAATTTGCACACAGTCATTCTCAAAGCTCTTTATGGGTAACTAAGACACCTAAAATAAAAAGTAAATACATCAGCTGTTAACTATTTAACAACCCTATTTGAAATAAGCAACATCAGTGTTTCCTTGAAACAAATGTGAGAGGGTTTCAGAGCATTTAAAAACCCAAGGCCTAAAAACTCAGTACATCCGGGCCTTGTCTTACTGTGAGGCAGAGGTTATAGAAACTCCCCGAGGGCCCTGCAGAATGAGTGGGAGCACTATTTTCCTCTCAGGTTTTGTTGAGTAGGAGGGCCCTTTATCGGGAAGGTGTGGTGCCAATAGACCTTATAGATGAGTCAGAGCAGCAGGCATGTACAGACATTTAGGTTCTCCACCCTAGAGATCCACATCAATGCATCATGGTCTATCTGTGGCCCAAATATACTTGGTAGGCCTAAACCATGAGACCTGCTTTTGCATTCTGTCCACCTAACTAAAGACATGAGGTGTAATTTGTCTTGTGTGTATTGGTCATATTGAATCTAAAACAAATATAATAACCATGAGCTACACTTAGCTCATAGAAACACACAAAACAAAAACATGCAATTAGTATGTGACAAGTCACAGACTGAATGCTAACCGTCTCTTTGACCATCAGTTTATTTGCCTATTGGGGGTATCCAACCAACTATTCTGATTGATGCACACATGCCAGGTTGTGTAAATATTGCAGTGGTCAGATTAATTGTACCGAAACAAAAGAACTCTAGGTAGTAAATAGGTTTACGCAAGGTCTGGTATAATTTTTTTGGTTTTAGCCGTGATTTACATGGAACTATAGTGCCTGACTCAGTTCTTGTGTGAATGGCATTAACCAGGTATTTACCCAAAAGGGAGAATGTGGTGTGAGCAGTCAAACATGGTTGAATGCCTGTTCATTATCTAGTGTCATACAAAGGCTTTGTGTGTGAAAGTCATGTAAAATGCTGAAGGGTCTTTCCAGTTTTCAATAGGCTATGTGGATAGATGATTGTGGCTGCACAGGCCCAACATTAGGGCACTGGAGCAAGGAGCAGCAGCTGTTCCACTATGTCGCTCTATTAGCACCTTTTGGAAAGAGACTCCAGGCTCACCTGGCACTTATCCAGAATGGCTCTTTCACTGTCAGTGCTGACAGAAGATACAACAGCATTGTGTAATCTATTTTGAAGTAGGAGGTACTATCCGGAACATGAGTTTCACATGCACAAACAAGCTCTACAAGACCACATCACGAGTGTATAGGCATTGGTCTCAGAGCATGTTAGTTTGTTTACATAGTGAGATGCTTTCACCCACTATCCTGAAAAAAACGATGTCCATGACTGGCAAGGTTTTACTGTTATACTGTTATTTTCCTCATCTCATATTTGCCTCCTTTCATTACTCTCAAGTGTTAATTGTGTCAGCCAATTTACAAGACACTATTTTTGTTTCAGTTTGTTTTACATGATGGCCTCCATTAATTATACTGGCATTCAGAATTGCGTTCAAAACAAAGTCTAGTTATGTAGTATGATTTCTCAACCGCTTCTGCTTGCTGCCATCACAAAGCCAGAAATGACAAAAGTGGCCACATATCAGTATTTCCAGATGTTTATAACAATGTCAGAAGCAATTTTCTAGTTGCAGGTGTGATTCAGAACAGAATTGTAATATGATAGCTGCATGGAAATATTGTCTTTTAGGTCAGCTTTTAAATGCTCTTTCAAACAATACAAAAAAACTGTTCCGAAATCTTCACATTCAGCTTATTGTCCTGGTCTACATGCACACTGAAAAATGTATTCACTGAGAAACCTATGAAAACAGGAAGGAGCCCTCTAATTATTAGATACTGACTAAATCCTGCCTGAAGTATTGCTGATAATATTGACTATAATGTGTGTAGCATCTGTTGCAATTAGAAATGACTATTTCTGAATATCTGAAATGTAAGTGTACAGTTTGATTACTTTAGAGGAAGGCTAATATAGCGTATGAGAACCAGTTACATCTAATTGGTGAGAGGGATACAAGAAGTTACTGTGGAGATTGTTCTGACAGAATGTTTTTTTCCTGTGGCGTGAACAATAAGGGATGAAGTTACATCATTTACTGCAAATGACATTTTTGGAACAACCTCCATCTGGTCGGTGGCGATTCAGTATAAAATCCTAAAAAACGTCAAGGAAAACAAAAGCATGTAGACGACAAGTTATGATAGAAAATAATTAATGATTTTTATTTACCCTTGGACCCTACATCCTCAGAGTCTGCTTGCACTTTGTTATGGAAACAAACACAAATAAATGAAATTGCAAAAACAGATCATGATCTAAAATCAAACCTGCTATATGTCCAGTCTGACATATGGTTAATACCACTAAATGTTTTTAGGTTTTTACCACTGAGCTTTCCAGGACTCCATGTACTATTTTGTGACATGTATGAAATGCCTATTGTTATGATTGAAGTTTAGAAATGGCTGGCATTTAGTTATTTTGCTTCTAAACTCTTGGGGGAATGCTGCACAAGTTATTTGGGGTAATTTTATGATAACAAAGTATGTTGTCCATTGTTATTAGATAAGTAATAATAATAACTAATACTGATTTGAGGTGCATTATGATTTTGACAACCTACTGCTTGGGTTTAACAGTGTTAACAGCGAGTGTCAGGGCAGCAGAGAAACAGTCACATTTATGTTTGGTTCATGCACCTATGGCAATATTGGAGTAACCTTCTGTTTGTTTTCCACTGCAACAATATATATATAAAAAAAGAAACTCTGCATTTGGAGGCAGCTTACTTTCATTTTTGGTTTTCAGTTCTCAAATAGACATATGTGTGATACCAATGTTGTTTCCTCTTGTGGCCAGTGGCCATAGTGCCCCCACCAGAAGTCCTATGGGATTACACATCTATTGTCTTCCTAGTTAATATAATCCCTCAAAGCAATGATGGAAATGAAACCCCACCACATTCCCCTTTTCAACAAACCAGGAGAAGTGATATGAAAGCAGTCTCAGGGGACGTTCTAAACCCCTCATTTGCCTTAATTGATATAATGAATGGCATGTGTTTTCAGCCTCCATAGTCTGGTAATTGCCATTTTTAACACCCATCAATGGAATATGTGCAGTGGAATGATTGAAGACATTAATGCTTTTGAGCGCAAATGTAGTTGACAGCAACAAGAAGTATTCCCTGTATTGTTAATTAGCTAACAGATGTTATAATAACATTTTATGTGGAATCAATGAAATGTGTAATTCCTTCTTGAACCATGTTTTTATACACTCATTTCCTTTTCTAGGTTTTTGGTTTGGTGCTTTCTTTGTCCATGTCAACATGTCTTGAGTGAATTAAATAGAATTTGAATTATGTATAGATTATTTGTAATTATGTACTTTTTTCACAGTTTTTCCTATTCTGTTTCTGTCTAATGCAAGTGTTTGTTATACATTTCAGTTCATATTTCGCATTGCTGTCAGTACTACTGATGCCTTACTGTATTACAAAACCAGAAGCCGGCTGATAATCATTCCTCTTTTGTCCTACAGGCTGGAGGATCAGACAAAAAAGCTTCACAAGGACATGAAGAAAAGCACTGAGGCTGATTTAGGTGTGTTCTGCCACCAACCTATGTGTTACCGCCTGGTGTGCCATTGATCTCCACTTGTTCACCAACATACTTGATGTTGCATGGCAGGTTTTTTCAGGGCCAGAAAGATGTGAAGTTGTCCTGGTTTGTTTGGTTGTGCGTCAGCTCTCCGAAATGAGACAACTGACAATTGAGAGGAGAGACTGCAAGCATTTGCCTTAATCTTCTTTTATAGGTTTTTCTAAGCTAACATTTTTCTAACAACATATCTTTTTGTGCAATGTTCAGTTAGGGCTCGATTTGTCTACCATCTCTGCCTACATTTATTCATGCATTTTTCGGCCACAGAAACCATGTTTACCTACTTTTTATTTGCTTATTTGTTGGTTTTGGAGTTGTGTATTTAGGAAGTAGCACTAGACATGGCCTGTGGTAAGTAGTCAGTTGTGGGGGTGGAGGAGCGGGGACGGATGGAGGAGCGAGAGGCTTCTTCATTTCCTCTCCTTTGTGCTCTGGAATATGGATGTCTGCATCATCAAAGTGTCATAGCTGTCAGGCCCTCATTATCGTTAATGGATTCCATCTGTCACACAGGTCCTGTCTCCACCAACTGCTACCAAACAAAGAACTGGACCTACTCTGCATGTCAGCACTACGTTTAATACACTGCTTTCTATATTGGCCACCATTTATCAAGTCAATAGCGGTGATATGCAAAAGTCTATTGAACTCACTTACAATTAGCTGGTGAGGGACAAAAATATCTTTTAAGGGCAGCTCCTGTTCACAATTTCAATTAGGCTAAGTAAAAAAGTGGCAGGTAGGCAGGCAGATAACTGCTTTTCATACTGAGAACTTATTTATCTTTTATCAGGCCCAGGTGATGACAAAGGACACAAGTTTCACTTATTTGCACACCACTACTACAAATGATAAAATCGCTACCCTCATGTCACCTTTTGATTTTCATAACCTTAAAATCAACATGTCTCTCAGTCATGTCAGACAAGGTCAAATCAAGCAATTTGTTACTTGTCAAAAAAAAAGAGATGCAGAAACACTATACAACAATAATTGATTGGTTGAAAATTGGTCTTGAGAGAATCCCAACGGAGTGTGAAAAGAGACCAATGATTGTTCTAGATCTCCATGAAGCCCATTTTCACCACAGCCTCTCCTCTCAGCTTGTGTCTCCTCAGTGCAGCTCATTTATTTTGACAGTGAAGCCATAATCTGATATGTGCTCTGTGTCTAAACAAAGTGGCATGAGTGCAGATTAACAGTAATTGGTGCTGTCAGTGTAGAAACATTGCAAAGATTCTTGGTGCACTGGTGAATATTCAACACGGCAGGCAGCCCCACCACCCCCTCAGATTTTTACAATGGGGGCAGCACTGTGCCATTCTGCTTTTGCTCTTTATTTCTTTCCCAAAAGCTCACTTTTGAAGACCCTACCACATAGAAACACATATACTGATGAAACGCTTAAAGCCTTAGTGTAATCCACAGAAATTGCCCCCATGGTTTAAGAAAAATGTAAAAATCTGGCTTTTAATTGGATTAGGATGTGTAGATGAGGACATTTTCAGAAACATTTAAATGGGCTGTAATTAACATGACAGTCTTTTCACAAAGTTATTTAAGTTTTAACAGAATCCTCTGCTTTGTGTGTGTGTGTTTGTCAGCCATGTCCAAAGCGGCGGTGAAGATCTCTGCTGACCTGCTGAGTAACCCGCTGTGTGAGCAGGACCAGGCCTTCCTGGAGTCCATGACTGCTTTAGATACAGCCATGAAAAGAATGGATTCCTTCAACCAGGAGAAGGTCAGACTCGTTCCCACAGTCTTCCACTCTTAAAATATTTAGTGTGGTATCTCACTCTTTTACTGTCTTTCTTTACTTTGTTTTCTCAGCACTTGCCATGGGTATTAGATTGGTATCAGAGGAAATGTCTTTCCTCAGACATACAAAGTAGGAAACTAGATGAGTTTTTGTTGAAAATGCATGTTTTCGTATTTGTCAATATTGTGCAGCCTGTGGACTAAAAACTATCCGTATGTCTTTCCTTCTGCTGCTTTTCAAAAGCATCTGTGGCATCATCCTCTATAAGCTCAAGCTACTGGTTATCAGCTGTGAAAACTGATGCATTTGTGACTCACTGGTGTCTAAAATAACTCATACAATGGAAAGGCCTTTTCTCAACAGGAAAATATCCCCTACCACAAAATCCACACAAGTAACTCTGTTCACAGCCTGTGTAGTGGACAAGTCTATTGTATTGCTTACATTTCTAGTTGAAACAAACATTTGGTTTCAGTTGAGTTTTAGTTTGACAATGATGGTTCACACCAAATAATCTGGAAAGGTTGTAGCAAAACGTTTGTTGTTAGAGCAACTGCAACCATCTTGAATTTATACTTCCATCACTCCTCAAATCCCACCTGCAGCATTGCATTTCTGTTGGTAACACTTGATGAAAGAAGAAGCAGGGAATCACCTAAGTTTCAGACCATGCCAACAGACTGGCAGGCAGACCCAACACGGCCAGCCATAAAACACGGTCCATCACATCCTTCACCTACATTTCCTCTGTTGTTGCATGTTTTGTGTATTTTGATATGTAGAGTATTTGTTGATTTGGAGAGTGTTTCTTGTAATGTTTGTGCTTTTCACTCTTGTATTTTGTCCTAAGGGGCAACCATAGATATGCAGGCATTTCTTTACAGAACTGTAACAAGTACAGCATACTGTTGTCCGCTCTCACATAGCTGTACTTTGTTAAGATCTCTTCTTTGGCTGTCAGGCCTCCTCAGATTATTTGCCGGGTGCACTTCGGTTTTTGATTAGAATCATTGCCACAGGTAGTTATAATGTGAATCATAGTGGCACCGCATGTGTGCATCCTCAAGGCACTACGCTGTGAAGGGTAGACTTTTAAAGAGGGAAAAAATACAGGAGTGAACACAGGAGATCACACTAAGGCATATACCGATTGACTTTTTTCCATCTGTGTTTTCTTGACTCATTGCCCTGCTGTTAGGTGTTCTGGGCTTTTCACATTTGTTGCCTTAAAATATTCCTCTTTCTCTTCACATTTTGTTGTGAACCAGAATGATTTCATAACCTTTTCCTCAACAGCATTCTAACAAGGTGGAGAAAATGAATACCTTTGTAAAAAAGAAAAAAGAAAAGTGGTCGTTTTTTTTATTCCATAGTAAAATTCTAGTGTAGTATCTCAGGAATGGCAAACCATCTGGAAATGTACATATTAGGTTGAGAAGAGTCGATTTATATTTTCTGTGAAACCTCATGAACTAGACTCAATTTCCATAGAAAATCAAACCATGACCTTTTCACCAGTATATGTGAGTGAAGCAGTGTCCATGGTATCTCACAGAAGTGTTTTGAAGTCCTCTTTTGAAATGAGCTTATTGTCAAACTAAGTAGTGCAAGTAAGAATCCGAATGAGTCTCACCACAAAGGAAGTTGAATACTATGTTTGTATTTTAGGCACAATGTTCTGTCAAGAACCTTCTTTCTACTTTGATAGAAAGTGACTCAAATGTCACACAGAGTAGGAAGATTATTGTATTGATTATAAAATATACTAAACATGTGAGAAGAAGTTTTGAGTAACTGTACTGTAGAAGTCACTTTTGTTTCTTTCCTTTCCTCTTCAGCTTTAACATACCAGTCTTTCAGACTGGCTTTGCTCACAACTCATCAAATTTTACAGGAGCCATTTTGAGTGACCAGACAAAGTAGAATGTGGGTTGGACTGAGCGTGTGGGTTTGTGACCCCGGGTGCGTATGTTCCAGGACTTGGCTTGGTCGAGTGCCCAGGAGAGCACTCCTGCCAGTTTGACTGTTTTCAGGATAGAGCAAGTTTTACATTCTTCAGATTTTATACAATATCAAATTTGTTTTTTTTATCTCATTTTCACTCTCATTGAATTTGGAAATGAAGAGAAATTTTAACCAGTGCTGCCTTGCACATTTGACTGTCAATGGAAATGTTGGGTACACTAAATCCTCCTCTTTCTTACCACATAATTTGAAGACCATAGTTTGACGGTTGACAGCATCAAAGTCCTCCTTTTTCCTCCTGGTTATTGTTGTCATCTTCATCTCAGGCCAGGCTGTCCTCAGTACCCTAACCAACTCAGTCATCTCTCATTTTAATGTGATTTTGTAGTAGTAGTAGCAAAAGACACAACTTGTTTATATAGTGTATAGTAGTGGATCTGTTTTCTGGCTCCATGGTGTGTAGTTTTCCTGTTTGGCTCTGTGACTGGGATGTGTTTGACAGTGATTCAGCCAGGCACTTTGATCCCAGCACAGTTTCTCACTTGTGGAGGACAACAGTCACCAACTGTATTGACGTGGTTGTATTTTTTTTTAACATACTTTGATCCAGAGTGGATTTTGACAGCTAGGTCACACCTGATTTTCTCTGCACTTCTTTCAGTCTTTCTAAATAAAAATCCTTGTGCTTGAACACAATGCTCAGTTCCAGGGTTGGGCTGTGTTGTGTGGCTCCTTTTGCAGAGTGGCTAAAAGTGAGCTCAAGGCAAAATAGTGAGTGTGCGCACTTTTTGGTCAGTGTGCTATGTGGAATATCACCAAGGGCTTGCTAGGTGTTTAAAATCCAGCACAGCTCACTCAAACACTACTCGAGCTTCTCCCTTCAAGCCGACTGTTGATTCTGACGGCACCAACAGCAAACCCTATTGCTCCAGCAAAACAGACACAAAAGCTTCCACCCTTTGCTCTTCTCCGTGTTGAGACGAGATGTTCTGCCGCAGGGCTCACAAGTGAGAGAGCCAGCAGATAAAACGTGCAGCGATAATGAAGGCAGCAGTGGCCCAGGTCTGTGTGTTTATTTCTGGGGCTGAGGAGGGCGCACAGACCCGCCGGCACACTGCTGCCGAAGCTGAGCCCCAGTGTAGATGGCGGCAGCACAGTAGAGGATGCTCCGTTTGGAGGGATATTGATTTCCTCTGCGATCTGTGTGTATTTTTGGGAGGCCTGTGTGCCGGGATGGCCTCTGCCCCGTGACTCACTGATGGAGACTGCTGCTTGAGCGCCAGCCTCAGGCTCTGCAGGGCCTCCAAGGAATAGCTCCCCCCCTCTCTGTGGGAAGGGGCAGAGGGTAGAGGGCACCAGCATGCTTAAGCAAATCTGCCGCTGTTGTTCTCCCTCCTCGCTGCATGCTCTCACCTTAGAAGCAGCAGCGCAGCTCAAGTCGTGGAGAGGGGGGGGGTGGTAGTGTGAATATGTAAAACAAAGAATATGTGAATTCCCATGTATATATATTTGTTATTGGTTCTCTGTTTTCCCTCAAACCACAATCAACCATTTTGTACTTGGAAATCTGCCCGTGTGAAGCAGTGAGTGTTGCTGTATGTTCTCATAGATGGTCAGGGCATTTTTTTACAAAGCACAGCTGCGATCTTGCTTCCTTGTTGTTGTGTGATTGACTGTCCTTCCAATAGCAAGTGAACATATGATTAGTGGAGCTTCTCACTGTTCTCATGCAGCTGTCACTTCACATCTCGCTGCTTTAAATTCTCCTTTGCTGCTCTTAGCATTTACTCTTCACTTGACTCGATTGCCTGGTTAACTTCGCATTCTGTTATGCTAGGAGATCCAGTAGTAAAAGTCATTTTGAATCTGCAATGTAAATGATGCTGGAAACTTTATTAATTGTGTGCCAACTTCTGTCAATGAGACTTGGTGCCGGGGCTGGAGGCCTCAAGATGAGATGTTCATTTACTTCCATTTAACACCCCCCTTCCCCTCTTTCCCTCCCCTGTCAGTTCTGGCAACCAGAAGGAGAATGCAGGAAAATATAAACTGTTATTGTTAAAATGTTTGTTTGCAAAGAACTTTCATCTTGTAAGGCAGCCCACCCTCCACAGGATTTGAAATCAGTTGGGCTTTGCTTTCATGTCCGTCCCCTGACAGTTCCATCCTTTTGTATCGCAAGCTCAATGAATATTCAGGGGTTTCTCCTCAGGGCTTGTGTACAATAAAAGAGTCAACGTCATGAAAGTTTCTTTGCAAACCCCCCTCCCCTTTTTTTCTTGAGTACTCTGTTTGAAATAAACACGATTGTTGATGTTTGTGCAGTGGCATTACTTTGCAGCTAATGAGCGAGAGATGTAGAAGCTGTTTTGTTCGTGGTTTAATTTTGATGTAACTCAATTTGACAGTGAATAACAATTCATAATGTCTCCTCCTTAATATATAGGGGCTGATTGCTTACATTAACAATTGTTCTTTTCATTACAGGTCAACCAGATCCAGAAGACCGTTATTGACCCTCTGAAAAAGTAAGTGTCCATTTTGATTTCTCATCCTCTTGAATTGTTTTCTTACTACTGTATTTTAAAGGTTGACTTTAAATGGTCTCTACACCAGACCAAAATCAAATAGCTGTCAATAAGTTTAACATTTGTTTGGACTAGATGCATTGCAAAATCACAGGAAAGTCTTGTAAAAGCAATTTAGTTTAGTTTTGTGGCTTAATATTCCTGATGTGGTAAATACATATGACACTCTGGGCAGACTAAGTCCAGTGCCCCATAACATTTTTATTATTTGACCTTGCTCTGCTCTTCGCACCAGTAGGGTGGAAAGTACAGCTGCAGTGCATGACCACAGGAAGGCCTGCAGTGTAGTAATACAGATTGTAAAAATGAACTGTGGAGTGAGCTGTGCTGCTGCGGTGGTAGTGTGTCTGGAAGAAAGTTTATTTGGTTCTCATTCCTAATACTCGCCCCCATTGAGCAGCCAGTGAGTGCTATTCCATTCCTTAAGCCTCACTTTTTCTAACACGCACACACGTGCACACACACACGCACACACACACACACACACACACGCACCACACCACACCACACCACACATAGTGTGCACACGTACATGCAAAGCAGAGGTACTGGAGGGAGTGGTTGGACTATCCCACCCGTCTTCCGGAGCGCTTGTTAAGGTTTTGCTTCCTCCACCCGGCTCCTCCCAGGAGATTAAACATATGCTTTGTAAGAGAACACTGCATATGTTTCTTTTGAAAGTTTATGTTGAACTTTCTTACCCATAAACTTGTCATTTTTTCAAGTAATCAATGTGAACAGATTCCTCTGTAAAACATGAAGAGGTTAGGTCAGTGTCTGTGTTTGTGTGTGTGTTAAGCCCTCTCTTCCTTGTGTGCTATGGTGGCGGAGCAATGACAGGATGGAATGGTTCTAATTTCCTCTTCCTGGTGGGCGGCAGGCGGACGTGTGGGCAGGCTCAGAATATGGCAAAGGGCCCAGCTTCCTGGGCCCAGAGCCGTGGATTGGTTGAGGAGGAGAGCTGTCTCAGGACAGTGCACACTCTCACACAAACATACATACAGATACACAAACACCAACCCAGATTTTGGAGGGGGCACGGTCTCACAAAGATGGTATTTTAGACCATAAAGTTAGGCATTTACATGATTCTGAAATAGAGCAGAGGAAGTAAGTTCATAAATGAGTTTTAAAGCCAAGCTAAACTGACCTCATCATTAACTTTTTTCCCCTCCTTTAAAATACAGCACTATTATTTGTTAGTTTATCAAAGTGTCTTGTATAGAAAACTGAAACACAAAAGCTACTGTACTTTAAAGCTTCCATTAAGATTCCATTAGTCCTTCACTAATGAATATTTTTCATTTACTTAGTCTCAAAATACTCTATTGGTGATCTTGTGTCATTCTAAGGAAAATTAGAGAAAGAACGTTAATGTTAATGGAAGACCTTGAATGGGTTTTGTGTGTGTGTATGTGTGTTCAGTACATGATTGAAGTGTCCAAGTGTGATTGCTATTTAAAATTTTGGCATCCATCCTTAATACTTAGTGTGGTAAAATGTACTATAAACACATGAAAAAGACCCCCCCCCCCCATCTATTTCTCTCTCTCAGGCCCAGACGTGAATTTCATCCACTCAGCGGGGTCACTGAATGACATCACTGTGTTTATGTGAGGGGAGGGGAGTGCGTGGGCATTGTGGAATTTGTGTTATCTAGGCCTCCTAACCTAGCCCTTTCTGCTCGATTGCTCTTTTGGGTGAGACAGAAGTCAAGCCTGTTTTGAGACCTCTGCCCTGGGTTCAGCTATGGCTGGACAAGCTACCTTCACCCCTCTCGATCAGAGGGAGACCCTGCCCCTGGAGCAGGTTGTGAGGCCTGAAGCTGACAGTTGTATCTCGCCTTAGCTGTGGGGCTTGGTGTAATTTTGGGGTGGGAGCACTGATTCAATTTGTTGTTAAATTTTGGAATCAAAGTTTTTCTTTGTAGCCAGGATGTTTGTTATGAAGTTATCTATCTTTTTTCCCGTCTTATCTGGTGTATCGTGTATCCAGGCTGCGTGAGTTGTCGGAGTTTTGATCAACAAAGCACAAGGCAAGTTGCAGCAGATCAGACTCCTTCTGCTGAGACAAAGGAGGTTCGGCATGTACGTCACACGCACACACACGTTCCCATGGCCCACTGCTCTTAAACCATTTATACAACAGGTGGTAGTTATTTTAAATTCACAGCAAGCATATTTGAACAAGACTTGCCACATGATGTAAACTTGTCTGACTCTCTTAAGTCTTCATCTCAGACTGTGACACATTGGAGGTGGTTATTTGCACATAAACAATTCCCTTTCCTATATTTTTAGTGGTTTGCTGTGTGTGTTTTGCAGTAGTGGGTTATGTGACAGTGATAGTCAAGAGGAACAGCCAGCCTCCTAGACTGAGGGTGTCTAGACCAGACTTGGGCTTGGCTGACGGGTCAGACTGGCCTGTCTGTGGATTGGCAGCTGCTCATAAACACACTCTCTGGTCCAGATGCTATTTCTATTCAGCCTGTTTACCACACCCTGACCTGTCACATGGACAGTGGTGTGCCCTTGGCCCCCGTGCAGCCCTCAACCAGCATAAGACCTCATTCAGGCGAGGCTAACCGCAAATTCAGAACTAGATGACTGACCGGTAGCTGTCCAGCCAAGGCCAGGACATCGAGGGAAACGTCCAGTGTCTGGACTGTTATAGACCAAACTATCATTGCAAAGGATGTATAGTCACTTTCAACCACGGTCATATTCTGTTGCATATTTTTTGTGTGGGAGCATTTGACACAGCTGAGTCACTGTAACTTGTAGAGCCCTGAATGTAACAGTGAGACATCAGCATCCAGCATGGAAAGGACAGGAATGGGTTAACAAGCAATTGGCTTTGTGTCTAGCTCTTCCTGATTCTTCCACACCAGGAGAGCAGTGGCCCTTGAGTCTCTCAGTGTGCTGAAACATGGCAGTTGCTGGCAGTGTTGTGCCACTTTAGAGGAGTACACCGTCATGATGTGTCAAGAGGAAATTGCATCGTTCTGTCAGGTGAAATATGCAGGTGAGAATGTGATCAGCCTTTGTGTCGTCTGAAAGTTGGCTTGCTGCTGCGCTGTCAACAGCCAATAGGATTGTGCTGGAGAGCAGTCATGCCTAGGGGGCAGTTACATAATCCCTTGGCACTTGAAGTATGTGTACACTGGAGCAGATAGTAGACTTGAGGATCGGCATCCACCCCTGCCATAAACTGGGCCAAAGTGGTATTTTATAAATAGTGGTAGAGCGTGGGCCGTGGGGCTGGGCTGAGCTGAGCTGAGCTCTGTGATGTCACTCAAACGCTACAAGACCACTCCTTGCTTAACTTCCTGTCGGAAACAAGCCCTGCTTGTCTGAGGCTGAGCCTCAGTTCACATCATTTTCTACCCCCCGCCCCCACTCTCTGGTAAGGTGCACAGGCAGACACAACTGTAATCTAGGATTTCACAATCAGTCCACAGGTTCTCAGTGGCTCCCTCATCTGCTGCAGGGAGCAGGGCACGGGTTGGCATGGAGAGGAACGTAAACCATGAAGCCCACACATTTTGTGGCTAATAACACTATAGGCAGAGACACACATTAAAACTATTGTAGTAGTGTGCCTACACACTTGATGAAATGCTTTAAATGAGTCATTCAAAAAAGCTGCATCTGACTCTTCATTACAATTGTTTTTATTTCTGACTCACTTTTAGCAGACACCTGTGTGAATAATATTGTGGCCTGCATTATAAAAACACTGCCACTGGTTTGTGTTTACATGTCAGAAAGGCCAAAACTTAGTTTCTTAATTGTCATTGTCATTATGCTTATTTTGCTTGCTATTCATTTGTTAAAGACTGCTGGGATTTTAATAACAGCTTTCTGGTGTCTTAGTTCCCCTTCACACTGTGCTGTATTATTTGTTGTATATTGTTTGTCTTTTAAAACTAATGAAAACAAAACAGAACTACCTCAGTTTAAAGAAATAATATTGGGCACTTACTGCATACTATATACTAATGCTGCATACATTCGAAGATACTTTAATCTTTTTATTAAATATTATTAGGTTGAATATAATACTGTATTACAGTATTCCTGCTTCCCATTAAAAGCAGCCACAAAACCAGTGCAACAAGTCCCAGGATGAAGCTCAGACTCCTGTTGCTAAGTTACAGATGAATGTTTTCCTATTTTTAGTGCTGAAGACTAGGATTCTCGTTGCAAGAATATATTTTCATTTGGAATATGATAATTGTCACAAAATGAATTGTTTCATGCCATTTTGAACTACAGTAATTAGATAATAGATTAGAGGAAGCTTAATGCAGAGCTGTCCTCTGGGGTTTGAGAGTACCTCTACAATAAGATGTTGAGGAGAGGGATTTTATTAATTCATAATGACTGCTATTAAGATGGGATGCAATGCAGAATGCATGCCTACATATTTCATAGAGCAAGGAAAGCTGTTTTAATGATTTCAGTAATTTTGGTTTCTTTGATAGTCTTATTTTTTTCCTAACCATTTGAGTGCTCTGAAGTGTGTGTGTGTGTGTGTGTGTGTGTGTTACTTTGTGTCTTGTTTGTATCAGAGATGTCTAAGGTTGTCTTTACCTGTCTTGCAGGTACAGTGGCGTCTTCCCCAGCCTCAACATGGCAGTGAAACGTCGGGAACAGGCACTGCAGGACTACAAACGGCTGCAGTCCAAAGTGGAGAAGTATGAAGAGAAAGAAAAAACCGGGCCCGTTATGGTCAAACTACATCAGGTACTGTGGTTTAAAGCTTGGATCGGTGCACGTGTTGGTCCACTCGAATGCTCCCTCTATCTGCAGAGGAGCAAAGTTCACTTGCTCTTACATGTTGCACGTATTGTGAATTGAGCACAATAAGTGGAAAAAGACAAATGCTGACTGGATATGAACAAAAATAGTTGAGCACATGCATACTGTACATGTGCGCTCCTTCACCCACGCAAGCTACCAGGCTCTCAAGTAGTGCCTTTTCAAAAAGGCAGTGCTGCACATCTACAGGCACGTAATTGAGAATTGTAGACACACACTCATACGCACACACACCATGAGGCCAATACAGAAGCGTACACATTCACAGATAGCACTGCAGTGTTGCCTATGCTATTGCCTCTAACACATCCTCACATGGTGAGCCACCCACACACATTGAGAAAAGCACTGTCAGGGGAACAAAGCCTTGAAGAGGCCCCTACATCCCTGCCCTTTGAATCCCAGTGCACTTAAAGAAATGATCTTGACAAAACACTCGTATGCCATTTCAACTGGCATGTGTAAAGAAAACCAACTAAGGTGAAGAGACCATACCATTATGCAGCAGATAAACAATATGTTGTAGTTTGAATGTAGCAACTCCCCCCTTCCCCTTAATAAAAAATTCTCACCCTCTCACACATATTCATTGTGCATTCCATAACTCCATGCCTACAGTAGACTACCCACTAATACATTCACACACAGATCAGTGGTGCTGGAGTCCACTCACAGCCAAGTCTGCCCACATTACCCACTCCTCCTCACTGTTGTCGTGATTACAGCCTTTTTTTTGCACTGCTTCTTCGTGGGAATTAGGCAAATATCATTCTGAACAATAAGAAAAAGGACACTAATGATGGCTCAGTGCTGAATTTACTTACAACTAACTTGTTTTTCTCCAGTGTTTAGCTCCTTGTACCTTGTGGAAGAATTGTCAATGTGTAGTGTGAATCATAACATGAACTGACATGAGTGAAAAGAGGGATGATCTGTAAAGTCAAAACTTAATAGTGACCACTGGTGACCTGTTCTTTTATTTCCTCTCTCCCCTCCACACCCCAGGCCAGAGAAGAGCTCCGACCAGTCAGGGAAGACTTCGAGGCCAAAAACAAGCAGCTGCTGGATGAGATGCCCAAGTTCTACCACAGCCGCATCGACTACTTCCAGCCCAGCTTTGAGGCTCTCATCCGGGCGCAGGTTAGTTACCCCCCTCCCTGGAGATGAACACACAATGAGGCGCTCACGCATGCAGGCGCACACACCCACCCCAAAGTGTGCTGTTACGCCCTGTGAGCACTGGTTAAACAGTGGATAAAGTGTTTGATGGAAGGGAGTGTGTAATCCTGGCAGTCTGTCTCCCTCCACGCTGTCCTAATGTGATTAACCCCCAATGACGGCCCACACTACTGTGTTTAGCCCAGGAAGGCCTCATTTGTCTGGCTCCACTGCTGCCCTGCAAGCCTTCCTCTAACCTGAAGCTTCTCTTAAAGCAGCTGGGTGTCTCAAGTTAGCGCCACCATGTCCCCCTCCCCCACCCCAGACCTGCCTGGCCATGTCATTTCCTCCTCGGGACAGCCACTGGCACACTCCTAATTAGTAAACTAGATTATCCCAGACCTAATGACAATTATGGAGGTTCTATGATGTACTTTGAACTTAAAATTAGCAAACGGAGCTATTAACTATAACCAACATAAAATATTTCCACAAATCTAAGCTCAGATCTTTCTCTTTTGAGGTTGCATCACATTTTTACCTTTTACCTGAGTTTGTATGTTGCAAGCGCTCCTATTAGTCACACTAGCTATTTACATCATCATCTTTATTCATGTAGCTCACGCACATGAATGAGCGTTTATACACACCACACACACACACACACACACACACACACACACACACACACACACACACACACACACACACACACACACACACACACACACACACACACAGCCACACGTGGGTGGCCAGTGGACCAGTGGACCTTATCCCCAGCCCTGCTGCATGTGATCGGTTTCATCCTCCACTCCCTTCTCTCCCAGCCGCTTGTTGCTGTTCAGCTCCCAGCGGCAGCAGGAAAAGGCACAAAGGCTGCCTTTGTTGTGAGCCTTCAGCTTCACTACCACAAGTCCTGTCCAGCGACTGTCAATGGGACACACAGCCTGACCTGTCCACCTGTACAGATGTTGATGAATTGAGACATTGTCTTGATATTTTTTCCCCCCTCAATTTTGAATTCTCTGTTGCATGTGTTCATTTTAAAAAATACTTAAAAGATTACTTTCTTTGTCTATTTTTTCCAGTTGATTCTCTTTGTCTCCAGAAACAGTGGTCATTCATTCTTTAAGGACTTACTGGACTTACTTATTTTTGTAGGTGTAACCTCTGTATAAACATTAAGTAGCTGGGACTATGGTATGTTAAAATGCTTAGACAGAAGTCATGTAAATTAAAGCTCTGCTTTACCCAAAGGCTGTTTTTTGTATTGTAGGTGGTCACAGTTGTGTGAGGCTGCGTTTACTCCTCGTGGTGACTCAACTAATTGGAATAGTAGTGTGTCTTCGCTACAGAAGGCACCCAGACACTGATCTGGTGTACATTATCATCACTGGTCATATGAACATTTCCGATGGCCATTTCAACAAGCCACTTTTGGTATAAAAAAAAAAAAAAAAATATCCGCTTTACCCCCACAAACCACAGTAACCCAATACTTATGGCCCACTCATGTGGCTTAGGTGGCAAATATTGGTATAAACATACAAAGGTCTTTCAGACTGAGAACTTAAATAAAGGTTTAAAAAACTTGACTTTTTTCCCTTTGGCTGACAGTGTCAAATGCTACTCTTTACAGAGGGAGATAAATGTTATTCCTATTTAAGAGATTTTTACTTCATTTCCAACTTGACCTAGCCCTCATTCTGCTGTGACCCTTAGCAAACACTGGTATCTTGGTTGGTCTTGCTGTTTCGGCCTACAATAGGACACACATGCAATTTCTGAGAAGCCAGCGATGCCCCCTTAAGAGCATGGTATCGTATCCATCGTTGTGTGAATAAATATTGAGATGTGTGTGTGGGTTTCAAGGGGTTGTATTTCCCAGTACTTTTATTCTCTGCCTACTCTTCTGGAGTCTTGTAATGTGATTAAAGTCTATTAATCATCAAAGCAACTCTCTAGGGAGCCTGACTCATGAACTAAGGGGAAGAAGCAGGGGTGGGAAGTGTCAAAAAAGCTTTCAGTGAACACTCTCTATCTCTTGTTCAGATCGGGAGAGAAAAGCAGGGTCACTACCCACTGAAGTGCTGGGTTTTTGGGGCTTTGTTGGAGTTGTTTGATATCTGTGGGCTCCCTCTTCTCCTCTCGAATCAGTTCTCATTAGCAAGGTTGAAGAGGTATGAGACCAGCAGCTTCAGACTTGTTTAAGTAAAAGCAAGGTTAGATTGTGCAATGGAGCAGTTTGGACATGAATTTGGAGTTTTTCCTGAGAAGCATCTAAGAAAGGTCTGTGGATTGACAATGTCTTTACATCAGAGGACAGACAGGACTATTTTTTCTGGTATGACAGCTTTTTCCTTTTTCCTTCCTGCCCCCTCAGGTGGTCTATTTCACCGAAATGTACAAGATCTTCAGCGAGTTAACAGACCAGATCGACCAGGCAGGGTTGACTGATGAGCAGAGGGAGAGGGAGACCGAGGCCAAGCTCAGCGAGTTGCGTGCACTGTCCATTGTCGCCGACGACTGAGGGAGGAAAGCCGAAAACCGGGAAGGGCTCCTTTCATGCCTCTCTGAATGGATTGCACTCTTTTCAGGCTCCTCCGCGCAGTTCAAACGGACAGCAATGGCCTTAACCTGATTATCAGTTTGTTTCCTTGCGGCCTCATCACCCCCCCATTCCTCTTGCACTAAACTCCCATGTTTCATTCTCTGTACAAAAACTCTCTGCAACTCAGAGCAGCTAAAATGCCACATTAACAAAGCCATCAGCCAAGTGCAACATTATAAGCCAATATGTTTTTTTTTTGTTTTTTTTTTTTAGTAAAGGAATCAAACAGCTCTCGTCAGAACTAATTAACAAGGTTACACTTCTTGGTTTCAGTCTATAAGCATTTCTTTCTAAAGTAGGAAACGAGCAAGGAAATGTTTTTATTCATTTCTGCTTTGTTACCTACAAACTGTGAAACATCGTTTTTATTGCCCGACTTTGAAATTACAAACACTACAGAGTGAATGTTATGTAAGGTACTGTAGGTTAACGGCAAGAAAATATATTTCTGTATTCTGGCCTTTGTTGGTTATCTCTAAGTTTAGCTCTGTGCCATGGTGTGTGAGGGCTTTTGATGGGGATTTACAGGATGCTACTGGTAACATGACCTGTGCATTATCTGCCTACATTGTCCTGACTGTGGATGTAACATGAAAACTAAGTTGTGTGAAGTGAGATTGTGCCTGTGCAGCAGTGTTGAAACATCGACCACTCGGGCTGCGGAGAAAACAAGTCGCCATTGAAATCAAATTGCTGTCCAAAACAAAGGCTGGTGCTCCCTCTAGTGGGAAATACCGATCATGACACACAATTTCCTTTTATTCACACCATCCATCCTTTGTTCTATTGTTGGTGGTTCAGTTCATCTGTTAGCAAAGAACCTCACACATTGTTGGCAGTCTAGAGAAAGTCCTTTCTCTGTTCCCTGTTCACCAGGGTTGGAAGCCAAATGTTTCTGGCTTTCCTTGATTTTGGACCAAATCATACTGTCATTGCACTCCTTTGTTTCCACCTTTATCATCAGGGACAGCTTCAGTATGATGACCATGCTCTGGTTAATGGGGCTATATGGTAACATACACACACTGATTGCTCCCATATCACATAAGTGGATTTTTGGTGATGTCATACCAAGAAGTTGACTATTTATTCTTCAACAGTCCTGTTTTGATTGTGTAATTATTTCTTTGTGTCCTGCAACGTGTAACTGTTAGAGTTACATGGAAAAAAAGTGTATTAATGAAGGTGTTTTTCTAAATGAGTAAGTTGTAGTACAGGTTGATTTTTTTTTTTTTTTTTTTTTTTTTTTTTTTAACATAACTAAATGAATACTTTAACATTAGTGTTGGTTTTTTTAGATTTTAAATGTATTAATACCAGAATCTGTTAAAAGACAGTTTTTTCAGCTGTCGTCTCAATGTATACTCAATCATGAAATAAATTAACGGTGACAATAGCAACCATGTCTACAATCTGCATTGTTAACCTGTTACTTTTATATTGTTGCCTTGATTACTTGATGTTTGATTATCCACTGCATATCTCTCAGGGTGAGTGCAGGAGTCGTGTCCGAGTGCCTTGCAGGGAATCAAATGTGCTGTAATTTAATCACACAAGAGTTATCAGTTACTAATCTTTATTTCTGTTCAGTTTTGCTTTACTGGAATTAGTCAGTAGTGTCCGGTCGACAAATCTCAATATAAGCAGTATTTACAGTACAGTCTCCTCTTTTTTTTTTTCTTCTTTTTTTTCTTTTTTTTTTTTTTACACAAATCATTGCTGGTTGAAATCCTCATTAGTTGCAATGGTTTAACATCAGGTGAAGGATTACATGCTCACACTGGCTTAGGAAATCTTCCAGAACCAATTAGAAAAATATGACCATCGAGCTAGGATCCAGGATGTTCATGAAATGCTTACATGTTGACCCATCAACCCTTAAAATACACACCTACAATTAATGCAAGTTCTAACGGCCTCACAAGTAGTTTCCCTTTAAAATTCCTTGCTTGGGAAAAGAACAGGGCAGTGTAAATAAAATATCTAACTTAGTGTCTGTGCAGATTGCTTCCTAATAACGTCTGTGATTCTTCTCTCTACAGCTACACAATAATTTACATAACAGTAAAATCTCCCATTGAATCAACATTGAATTAGTGACAAGGACAACATAGAGAGAAATAAAATGGTTTGGGCCCATTCTGTGTTATTTTTCATGTGAAGAGTTAATGTATTACACATATGTGGACGGAAGTGGATGTAAATTAAAACTTCTTTGAAGCAAAATACCAATATTCCAAAATATATCCAATTGTATATTTTAGATGAGGCACTGCTGGACGTTAATTTAATTTTTTCTCCCCCAGGTTCCCGCACTTATTTTTTTCCCTTATTGTACACCAGTAACCCTTGGGTGTTGTGTGTGAATTACTGAGTAGAGTCTTTTAAATGGTTGTTTTACTGTACATGCTTGATATCTGTTCCTGAAAGACTCTACGGATGTCGGCACGTCTACTTTTCAGGGTGGGTGTGAGGAGGCCGTTGGCGACACTGAACGTCTCTGGATGCAAGTGAAGGTCCTTCACCTGAAAGGAAGAAGGAGAAAGGAGAAGATATGACACACAACCACAATGAAAGTCAGTATTGGGAGGTTTGTAGCTTCTGAATTTTAACCGTCAGCAGAGATTGCTCACTTGTTCAAATGACTTCAGCCCTGCTTCTTTCCCCACAGCTTTCATGTCCTCTAATACTGCATTCTTTACATCCTGTAGGAAGACAGATAGCCAAGTACATCTTTTAGAATCCATACAGTAGTGTGAAGTAGTGATATTAAAGAGATGTTTGGAGATTTGACATACAGGATTCTGGCACAGCTCCTCATAGGACCCCACAAATCCCCGCTCTTTAGCCCAGTCAACAAACACCTCAGGGTCAGGCACGACTATGCCTATGAGATAAGACTGGTAACAGGAAATACAAGAGAAAAATCGATTATTTAACTTGCGCTGCGGCAGATGTTTTGTATATAGATAAAATGAATAGGAATCACATCATATTAGCATTGTACCTGTAAACTATCTCCATGCACGAACACCTGGAGCACAGGAACACAACGCATGTAGACGTTTTCTATCTTCTCCGGAGCGATGTACTCTCCCTGGGACAACTTGAAGATGTGCTTCTTTCTGTCAATGATGCGTAGTGTCCCGTTCTGATGGAAGAGAAATACAAACACAGACATTTGCTCACTTACAAGAAACAATATATGTGTTTATATGTCACTCTGATTATACTGTCTAATCTTACTGGAAGCCACTGGCCCACATCCCCGCTGTGGAGCCAGCCGTCGCTGTCTAGGGCGTCAGCTGTCCTTTCCGGGTCCCTCAAGTAGCCTCTGAACACACTGGGGCCACGGATGCAGATCTGATGCAGGATAAAGCCGTGAGAAGTGTCAGCAGGAAGCACATTGTCTGGTAATATGTGTAGCATGACCACATGTTTAGACTCACCTCTCCCTCTCCATTCTTTGCATAGTATTTCATGTCAGGAATGTCAACCAGCTTCACCATGGCGCAGGGTAAAGGAGCACCAACGTGACCTAACAGACACACAAACATACCTGCTGAGGACAGGAGGAACCAGCACGGGCACAAACGCACAAGCAACCGAGAGAGAGAAAAAAAAAAAGGTAACACATCAGTTTCTTACCTGCGCTCCAGTCTCCCGGCATAGAGAAAGTGCAGCCTGCAGTGCACTCTGTCTGACCATAACCCTCAAATATCAGACAGCCCAGAGTGGCTCTGAGGAAGGACAGCACTGTGGGGGAGATGGGTGCTGAAGCGGTCAGAGCAAAGCGTAGATTACCTCCTAAACTGGCCTGAAACAGAGGTAGTGCAGGCAGTATTTGTGTAAAATATCTCAAACACTATCATATTGTGCTAATTTCCATTTTAACCATTTTCAACTTCGGTCATATTTCCCATCTGCATTGACAATACCGAGCCAGAATCTTTCAGCTCTTGTTTGCCTGTGTGCGCACTTCTCCAATACACTCCCACAGGGCCAATATGCTCTGCGTGATTTTGGCACTCGTTGCTGGAATAGTTGTGCTTCTCTTGTAAAGTTTGGATACAAATTTGTTCTCTGTTTGAAGGGCTGCCGGTACCACTGTGTTAACTACTACAAAACATAAATAGTTAAATCCTGATTTACAGAAAAGATGTCAATTAAGACTGAAAATCAATGTCCAGTAGGTCTTTACTAGGGACACATATGAATGTACAGCACTGCAAAGCAATGGAAAACAAAAAAACTCAATTGCAACAACATGGGAAAATATGATTCAGGCAGAAATAAAATGGAGCTTGCAGAAACTGACCTGAATCCTGTTGAACACCAGTTTGTCCCAAAGACTGTTGTTACGTACAACCCCGCTGCTGAGCTCCGCCTGCTTTCTCCTCACGGCGTAGTGAAGCAAAGCGCGTCGCAACGGAGACGTCACAGAACCCAGGATCTTTACAGGAATCAGTGAAAATGGACATAAACATAAAGCCAGGTTTAAAATATAACCGACCAAGAGTTATCCCCTCTAAGTGCCGTTTAAATGACAAGATGTGGATATATTCGCCGACCTTGTCATAGATGCGATTGAGTAATCGAGGCACAACAGGAAAGAAGGTGGGTTTGAGAGTTTTAATGTCATCCATAAGAAGAGAAATGTCCCCTTGGTAGAATCCTACTCTGGCCCCATGGCAGAACATAGAGACCTGTTGCAGAAATAGACTTAATTTAGGGTTTACACATAAACACACACTAGAAAAAAAAATATATATCTGAGAAGATCAACTACCTGAATCATCCTCTCAAACATGTGGGCAAGCGGCAGGTACGAGATCGACACATCCTCTTGCTGGATCACAAACGAACCCTGAGAGGAAACGAGACATAAAAATGAGCAAAGCACCAGGGAGAGATAAAGTTCAGGCAGCAGCATACGGTAAAGCCTCGCAGGCAATCAAACATGCTGTATGGCTTTTCCAGCAGCAGTTAAGATAGCTGAATCTTTATACGGGGGCAATTAGTTAAAGTACCTTGCAGCGACAGGGGCAATCAAACACCCAATTAATCATACCATTAGACACAGCAGGGAGAGGGACAGCTTTGAGATACAGAGACACAAGCAGATGGGAAGTGATGCAAGCTATGAGGCTGTTCTCAATTAGACAAGGAGGTGGAAGTGTAGACAGACCTCCAGGATCTTAATGACAGAGGAAGTGTTGGAGGCGATGTTGCCGTGGGTGATCATGGCTCCCTTGGGCTTCCCTGGATAAATAAACAAGACATTATTGCAGTGCTCTGCACAGCAAAGGAAACTATAGCGGTGCCACAATGAGAGGTTGTTAGTGGGCACTGAAGGACACTTCTCTAATGATGTGAGTGAAGGATAATTATGGAGAGACTTATGAGATCAGACGATACCTGTGGTTCCACTGGTGAAGCAAACCACGGCCAGATCCTGGGGCTGGGGCGGCTACAGCAGGCAGCAATAAAATATGAGAATATGACAACGGGCTTCCTCCACTCTTAATTTAAGCCCTGTTTACAAGTGAATGTTAATGATATCTTATGGGACAGGAGCAACAATAAAACTGTCAACCTAGCATTTAGAGGGGGATTAGGTATTTACTGGAACCAGTTTGATGCGGTGACACAGCAGCTGAGAGACGATAAACTCACCACAGGATCTTTGAGGTTCTGCCTTCCCAGGTCCTACGATGTGGACAAAGATGAGTCACTCATATCAATTTACACATCAGCATTGATTAAAGGGGAGAAATTTAAATGAGTCTGCATTATAGGGATTTAGTCTTTCCACCCTGCTCACCATGAGCTGCTCCAGTTTCAAAACCTCCACCTCGCTGGCCTTCGCCCTCTCCACAAAGGCTTCACTGAAGTTGTTAAAGAGAACCAGGCAGGAGAGCTTCGGCGTCACGCCTTTCTCCTTGTTCTCTAACAGAGACGCTGCCTTCTCCTCCCGGTCACAGATCACCAGAGAGATCTCCGCTGAGAATGCACCACGACACACAGATGGGATAAACTTTACTGACCCCATGCAGGAAAAATCAAGTGTGATTGCAGCAGAGGTACAAGAGCTTATATGTTGATTTGAATAGTATATACATTATTAAATACCTTTTACTACTATCTATCTACTATATATAAATTAAATATGAAGAAAATTTAAATAAAAAAGCTACTAAATACTATATACAGTAATTATGGAAGGTAAGTAAGTACATTTACTCAAGAATTACACTTGTATGCATCACTTTCTCCTACTTTGTTTTTACTCCACTCAGACACTGTGTATCTGACTGCCATGCTATTTTCTGTGATTTTGTAAATTTGAAAAGAAAAGATTATAAATTTGAATACATTGTTAAAGATTAAATCAGTGGTTCATAACCTTTTTGGGTTTTATTCCCTTACAAAAAAGTGTCTGAGAATTGAGCAGTTGAGAGAAGTTTAAAAAAAGAATGTGAATTAGTTTTTTGCAGAACCAGCATATTTACTTCATTATTCAAGGACATTTAGCTCTTAATAGTGTTCTTTAGAGTACTGTGAAATCAGGACTTCTTTTTGTAATTAAATAATTTACAAATACTTGACCTTAAGTAAAGAGTCTGAGAACATAATGCACATGTAACTATCTCCTATAGTTTTTTAGATCATATACTGTATTTGCTATATGTCAGTTACACATACAGTACCAGTCAAACGTTTGGACACACTTTCCCATTCACTTAAGTATGTCAAAACTTTTGATTGGTACTGTCTGGTAATAGTCTCTAGAACAATATTGTGTGAGAGGGGTCACTGTGCATTAACCACCACAATGGTCTTTCACACAATCAAATCTGATTTGATACAGGAGGCTGGAGGACACACCAATAATGACCACATTTATATTTTGTGCACTGTTCCTTTAAATATTGATAAAATCTCATCAACATTGTTTTTTTTTTTTTACATGAAGGTTTTCTCACCCAGGTTGAGTATGTGGACCATGGCCTCCAGCCCCAGGGTGTCATAGAGAGGCACCACCGCCATGGAGTAAGTGTAGCAGGCCAGTTCTGAGATTATCCACTGTCACCAGCAGAGGGAGACAGAGCAGGACTGTTAGACTCATTTCCAAACTTCACCCATCACTGTGTACTTGCCGAGTCAGATATCTAAACATTAGACACTACATTACACGCATTTCATATTTACAAAACAAATAAAACCACATAAAAAAAACACCACCCAGTGTGTAGATCGGTCTGATCATAAAATTGTGTTTCACCTTCAGACTACACGGGAATGCCAAAAAAAGGCCTTGCCTAATGGATATGATAAAAATGAATTTGGGAGCAGACATGTTCCAATATTAGCTGCCCTGGAGACCCACTTTCACCACCAGCACTTTGCTCTCAATACGAATAGAGGAAAACACACTTTCAGGACAAAGACAAACACAAATCATATTTTAAATGTGAAAACTCATTAAAAAAAAAAAGAAGAAAAATTAAGTTTTAACCTGGTGAAATATTATTTTGAATTATAGGGCTGTTGAGAGGTTTAAGGATCAATAATCTTGATCAGAGGCAAGAACAGTTTGTGTCTTAGAAGTTATCTAACCGACTCTAAAGCTCACAGGTGATCCACCAGTGCGGGAACACATTTTATACTACAAGACAGTGATGAGTTCATACCTCTGGTCTGTTTTGTGCAAATATCCCGACAAACTGCTGCGGGTTCGGCTGGCAGCCTTTAGCCAACAGCCCAGAGCCCAGCACCTGCGCCTGCTCCGCCACCTGAAGGATCGGAGACACACAGAGTCACATAACAGAAAAGCGTGACGGCCGGAGGATCAAAAATACTAAAATGTCAGACCTCAGTGTAGGAGATCCACTGGTAGGGCTGGCCCGGCTTCCTGAAGCCAAGGCACGGGCCATTTCCTGAAGGACACAAGACAGCAGTGTCACACCAGTGCAAACATATGTACGATTTATAGCATGGTGTCTGTGATAGCTTTCTTTTTTTTTTTAACTAGGGACCAAGAACAAGTTTTACTTATGATACATCAGTAAATTATATTTGGTTGTATAGATATTCATTTTGTGCTGTTGCTTGGAATCCTTTTAGAGGGTTGAATGAAATGTGTTGTAATAGAGGTGCCAGGTGTCATCACCTGAGATCTTCAGGCCTCTCTGGAACATGTCATAAGCCGTCTTGGTGTCATCATAGTAAAACTCCAGCAGTGAGTCATCTTTAAGAAGAGCCGATCTCCTACAGCTTGGATCTCCCTACGACAAACGCCACCATCAAACACCTTAAAACACTTCTTCCATAATGATGCATGCCATTTATACAAGTTTAAACACAATCATACCAGTGGTGACCATGATCCACTCACATTTACGGCTACAGACTGGGCTTGCAGATCACAGGGAGGACGCATGGGTCGAGGACGGGTCACCAGCCAGTACGCAGTGAGAGAGGCCAGGGCTCCTAAACCCAGCAGAGAGGAGGACGACAGAGACAGGGAGGACAGGGAGAAGGAGGACAGAGGCAGAGACGGCAGAAGACTCCAGAAGTCCTCTGATTCAGAACCTTTGAGACCCGCACTGGAGCGAAGTGACCGTAACCACTCCTGGAAATGCATAGCTGAGGGAAGAGGACAGGAAAAAAAATACCCAGTGAAACAGAGGAAAATTACACGGTGCATTCACATCACAAACATTTCTTTGTGCAGCATCTCCTGCACGAAGCACCGCAACAGTAAACACGTGGCAGGCAACAGATTCAGGGCCCAGCTCATTTTTAAAATACACTTTTCTTGCTGAAGCATTTTTAATCATGTTTTATAATGTGGACAGTGTTTGTGTTATTTTACTGACAAATTCATTACTTTGCCCCCCCACCCCCACCCCCCACCCCACTCCTGCACGAAGCACCGCAACAGTAAACACGTGGCAGGCAACAGATTCAGGGCCCAGCTCATTTTTAAAATACACTTTTCTTGCTGAAGCATTTTTAATCATGTTTTATAATGTGGACAGTGTTTGTGTTATTTTACTGACAAATTCATTACTTTGCCCCCCCACCCCCACCCCACCCCCCACTCTATCACAGTAAACCCTGTTCATACACTACAATCTACTTTAAACACAGAACGCAACCAAAAAGAAAAATGTAAATAAAAACATCACTCCACTTGTGAAAGTGTAAAATAGCAGTCTGAAGAGTCTGGTTAAAAGACTGAATCACATTGGATCACAGGCTTGGTACCGCACACGGAGAGAGAGGAAGAGAAGAAAAGGCCTGAGCTGTTCAAAGGAGGGTGGTGGATGGGGGGAGTGGAGAGACACCAGGAAGTAATAATGATTGGCTTAACAGAAACAGGCACCGAGGTTACTCTAAGGCATGTTGTGCCACTCTTTCATCCAACAGGGAGCGAGAGACTCGGGGTGCGTACAGTAGCGAGGGGCTGGTGGTGAGATAGGGTGAGGGGAAGGACTGGGTAAGTCCACCCCCATGAGCCCCTGCCAGAGACTTTATTGTTCATATCAAAACTGAATGAAAGAGGGACAAATAGGGAGGGGAAGGGCAATTTGAGAGCTGTGTCTACCCTCCAAACAAACTCTGACAGTGTTTGCTCACGTGCAAACTGTAAAACTACACTTCACCCTGAAACTGCTCATTTCACCCCCTCCAACAAACCACTTCGTCTTCCACCAAGCGAGGAATTCACCTCACTCCTTTCCAACATCCATTCCCCTCCCCAAACACCCCTCAACCTCTCACCCACTTTCTCCCCCAGTACCCAATAGGAAAGGGGATAAAGAGTGATATCATACCCCTCCCTCCTCTTTAACGGGGCTGATCCTGAACTGCCTCCCTTCCCTGCATGGGCAAAGCGATGCCACACTTGTCTTCAGATGATTTATAATCTACTTTAAGCATCAATTTATGTGAGTTAAAGCTGCTCAGTTGCCACTTTTCACCTACGGGAGTAACAAAGCAGCTGGTGATCCCCTTGAGTCATTTCACTAAGTAAATAAATGGAAAGCAAAGGGCTTTATGAAATGTGACACATCCAAATAAATGACAGTCAGCCGCGAAGAGAGCTTCCTGTAGCCCCTTTCTGTCTCTCTCCACTGCTCCCTCCTCTCTCACTCCCATTCATAATGGCTATTGTCAAAGCCCAGACTGAGACCATTGTGCTCCCAGCTTTTACTCCCTGGAAGACATGAGACAAAAGAAAATGGCACACACATGTGAAAATATACCGAAGGGAAACAAATGCACCTTCACAGCCTGTGCCAATCTCACTGGGAGAGAGAAACCTGAATGTTCCAGCAGTTCACACCTGACTTTATATTAACAGTGAAGACTGCATAGCAGGACACACGATCAAGTGAAGTAGATTAAATTTATGTTTGGTGCAAATGATGTAAATATGGAAATAAACTGACATCCTGCCACAGAGTGAACAGAAAAAGCCATAAAACATCAGAATGCAGGTTCACAGGGAGACAGCAGGCATGTAAGAGAGAGCCTGAGGCAGTCTGCACGTCTGTACACATTTACTGCTGCTGACAAGCTGAGACAGAGCTGAGAGCACAAGGGATATTCAGAGCTACAGTATAGTGTGTGATAAAAACAAGAGAGACACAAACAAATACAGAAACCAGAAACTGGTTTTGAGAAAGGAATCTGGTGAGAAATCAAGGTGTCAAACATTATTTGGGAACTGTATTTTGGGAACCTTCTCATAAAGTGAGCTATGATGGGTGAAAAATTAAATTAATAACATAAAAAAAAGGGAGATTAAATTAAATTAATTAAAGTGTTTATAATCTAATTTTAAAAGTATTAATAGTAAAACATTGTCTTGGATAAAATCAGGGCTTAAATATAGGCTATAAATTATGAGTTGATGTTTTGCATTATAAGTTTTTGGTATGTTTTTATAAAGAAGTATAATGTCAGTGTTGTCTGAAATATATTTTGGCAACATCTGTCAGATAAAGTCTTCTTGTATAAACAAATAAAAAGGAGCCAGTGCAGAGAGTTTCAAAGTGGAGGAAAGTGAACTCAATTTCTTGTTCTATTTGAAATTCTGGCAGCCAGACTCTGTTCGTTTTAAATTATTTTAAAGGCTTTATGGTCGAACCTCGCAGCATGAAAGAGCAGTCAATGTTGCTTTTAAGAAATGGAAGCAGAGAGTTTTTCTTTTCACAGGCAGACAGAAAAGCACTAACATTAGTGATGTTCTTTAAGTGAGAGAGTGCTGTTTCTGACACCTTCCTGTTATATTAAACTTTAGAATATATATTTGGTCTAATAGTATTTTCCCCACAAAGCAAAGATCCAACGCAGAATGATTGCCTGAATGAGAAGAAGCTCTGTACAGTAGACTACAGGGCTTCTGTGTTGATGGGAGCAATGCTGGGGAATGCTTCCCCCTGACCCAGATAACTACAGGAGGTGACACGAAAGGGGGGTGACAGTGTTTTGTACCCACACCACCAGCAGCAGCAGCAGTAGCAATGAACTCTGCACACTTTCCATGTGCCCGAAGTAGTGAATGGTCCGATCAAGGGGAGATGAGGAGAGAGTTACAGGGAGGACACGTGAGGCTGGCCGGGCAGTGGGGGGAAACCAGCAAAAGAGAAAGAATGAGACTGAGGGGTGTTTTCCGGCTGTGATTCCCAAATGAAGCGTGAAGAACACAGACACACACTTGGTCACAATGACGTTTTTCTTGTTGAGGAGGAAGGACGTGAAGAATGAATGAGAAAGACCACGCATCCTGCACGTAGGAATCACCTTCACTTTCCACAAGCCGGCACCGAGTCTGCCACCAGTCAGGATTCTCACAGACAATGAAATATTTGTGCATTTTTTTCTGCAGCTTCAAGTTTTCAGTTTCATGTAACTAAGCAGAACCAGGTCCAAACATCACTATGCAGGGGTAATCTTCCAATGTTTAGCTGAGTACCACACCTCACAGGTCACTTTTGAATCAGTGAGTGTTTTTGTGCACCAGGGCAGATCTTCCAGCCGTGCACAGCAGGGCACACACGCCTTAGTCATACCATACTCTGTAACTGTCAAACACTCATAGTAGATACCAGAGAGCTGGAATCTGGCCATATGGACAACTTCAAGCATGTTGCATGGCCCAAAATATCTAGACATGCAAAAAAAAAAAAAAAAAAAAGCTTGGCTTGGCAACATACCACAGCACTGTGCTTAAGTTGACAGTTACACATTAGTTCACTCCAGTCCTTTCAAAGAATTTGAAAGCACACTGCAAATATATCTACAAAACTTACGGTATGTGTATCATGAAGTGATTCTACAAACAATGCAGTAAGACAGAAGCACCATGAGGTCATTATAAGTTATAGCTTCAGTTGAGCAAAGGCAAACTGCACAAAAAGCTCATATAGAGCAGCTATTATTGTGAAGAATCACTTGTCTGTTTCTCATCAATGGATCACTGAAAACTCCATGCAACAGTTTGTTAACAGGTTGATTCACCTTCAATGTGTTCCTCAGACTTCAGCAAACTCTCAACTCGTAGCCTGAGAGCCTCAGCGGGCTGCAGTAAAACTTTTCTCCTTTTTAGATCGGAATCTAAAGTCTTCGGGGGTTGAGCGGGACAGACTGAAAAAGAGCCAATAAACAAAGACAGAAAAACCAAACGGAACTTACCTCAGAAAATCTCAAACCTCAATTTTTTCCTCAGATTGCACTCCTAAATCGCTACTTCATCAGCAGATCCATCGAAATCTGTTCACACGTCAAGCTAGAGACTGTACGTCATCATATCCTGTGAAAACCTTCAAAATAAAAGCGAGACTGATGGCAGCATTGTGCGCGTCAGAATTAAGTTTGAAGTTAAGTTTAAAGCGGAAATGTTCATCTAGAAATTTGGAAAAGTGGAATAATTATGTTACATTAGTACCCCACATGCAATTTCAAGCGTTATAGCAAAACATGGAAATCTTAGAGGGGAGCAGAACTGATTAAAGGGGAAAATACAACGAGTTAAAACAGACTATATATTGTGATAAAACCTTTGTGTGCCTCTTTTGGTATTTCCTCTTATTATTTGTCGTTTACTGTTAGACTTTATTTAGCTAAAAGGCAAAGCAGTTATGAAGCATCTCCATCAAGCCACACTATTCATCAAATCACAGTTTGTCACATTCTTTATAACAACTTGAGTTTCCAATCATATTTTCCTCCTAATCAATTAATGTCAATATAAAGTCATTCTGCTGTGTTGTTCTCAATAGGGTAACGTTTTGACATTTTCTAAGCGTTAATTCAGTTACTTTAATTTGAAGGTAATGTCACATAACTTCCTGTATTTGTTTTTGTCCCTTTCTGTGGCTTGATGCTTTTCTGCAAGACTCTGACGTCACTTCTTAATTGTATGCATGCATTTGGGGGAGAGATCAAATAATGACAGAATAATAGCAGAGTCCCAAAGAAGTGAAAGTCACGGTGAGGCTGCAGTTCGAAGAGGAAAGCAACAGTCTGATGCAGCTTATGTGTTTATTGAGTTACATTCATCTGCAGTGACATTACTGAACTCCTATCATTATAAATCTAAATCGAGATTCTACATCAAAAACAGTCTCAGCTCAACGCAGTAGGCAGCCTGGGTCATTTATCAAACAATATATGCAGTTACTGATACAGTGGAAAATATTTCTTGTGTGAAAATATAATTCATTCTTGATGGTAGTAAGACTGAGAGCAGTGAATTATTTATGAGGGCTAAACCTGAAAATGATGAAGTATTGTCCCCCAGCTCACAGCTGATAGCTCAGAAATCATCCCAGTTTGTGCACAGCTCCACTGGGTCCTCAGTGTAATGACCACATGCACTGCTGTCCAAAGGATGATTAACCTGAAAGACAGTGTAACAGGAAAAAATGTAATACATCCTCTCATTGAGTTATTACAAAAATGATAGCCTAATAATAATAATAAGCCAAATTTAAAGTGTCTTACTTTGGGAATAACTGGTGGGTTTAATGTTCTTTTACAAAGTCCGTCCCAGTCGAATCCTTCAAACCATCTAATGAAAACAGAGAATCACAACCTGTAAATCCATGTTTTCCAGCACACAGTGTTTTCCAGTGTAATAAATCTGTCGCCTTACTTGTGCATCTGAATGTCCTTGGCCCCATTTCTCAGAGTGCCCAGTCTCTCCGAGGGATTGCTCCTTGGTGATGGAGAGCGAAAGAGAACACCCAAATAAATAAACTATGAATTAATAATCAGATTCTGTCATTCAAAAAGTGGTGTCAAAGCACAGGTCATGTCCAATACACCTGCAGTATTTCCAGTATCTGTATGTGTGTGTTTTGGGCTGGAAGAGAGGTAATATATCACACAGAGGTGTGTGGCTGGAGAATGGTTTTTATCTCTGAAGAAGCATTACAAAATAACGAGACAAGTGTCATTAACTTTCACATCATAATTCATGATGTCTAGTGGCTCATATTTACAACACCTGCACAGTTTCTTTATGAGACTGGAGGCACTTTTGCTGATGTTTTTCGGGAAGTCGATCTGATCGATGCCGCAAATGGTTGCAGTGAGAATCTTCAGAGGGTCAGAGCCACTGAATGGCAGTCTGCAGATGACAACATGAACCTATCATTATCACTTTAATCTACAAGTCAAGACATGAGCCTAAAAAGTTCTGCCTGACTGCACAAAACTGTAAAACTTACCCACCGCTCAGTAGTTCAAACAGAAATACGCCTAGGGACCAGAAGTCTGTAGATACACTGTGACCTTTGTTCAAGATGATCTCAGGTGCGATATAGCCCAGTGTACCGCAGAATGTCCAGGTTTTCTTACCCACCTCAACCTTCTTTAGACATCTGGAGCCAATCTACAAAGAGCAGGTATTGGTACATTTACAGTAACTTTTGGTAAAAAAAAAATTCAATAGAATACTCAAAATGTGGATTTAAGTTTGTGACCAATAGTAAATACCAGTTTGGCATAACCATGCTCATCCAGAACAATATTTTCAGGTTTGATGTCTCTATAGATGACACCTCGGCCGTGAAGAAAGGTCAGTGCCTCAACAACACAAGCTATGTAGAACCTGGTGCTGCATTCATCCAAATATCCCCTGAAACAGTACGAGAAGTGCTGACTTAAACATCACAGCAAACAAAACTAATGTATGATGCAAACAGATGTGAAACATCAGACACTGGTCAGTCTTAATATTGAACTGTGATGAAAGCTTAGCTCAAAACACAGTGGTAGGGTTATAAATATTTTATCAGTGTGATGACAAAAAGTGCTTTGAATCTTAATTTCCTTTAGTCCAAAAACACTTACTTATCTTTAAGTAGACTGCATAAATCCCCACCAAGACAAGCCTCTGTCAAACTGTACAGGCACTCAGGGTCTCTAAAGATTTTATGTAGCCTGTAATCATTAAAAATACAGAAACATGCTAAAGATCTTTTTTTTTTTATCATTAACATATTATGTAATCAAACCAATCCTAATTAGATAACTGTTGAAGAATGGGCACCTGACTATGAATGGACAATAAGCCTCCATTAGGATGCGCCCTTCTCTCAGGACGTGCTCTTGCTGACCATTGTTGAGGATCAGCTTCTTCTTGAGGACCTTCATGGCAAAAAGACATTTGATGTTGCTCTTTAGTTGTACCTGGCAGAGGTGAAAATCAATAGATTACATTACAGAAACATGGAATCTCAAGTAGGCTGCAGCACAGGAATCACAGGGTAATATCAACCCTTACCAGGTCTACGTGACCAAACTCCCCAGCTGCCAGAGTGCAAATAATGTTGAAATCACTTAAGGTGGAAGATGAAAGGACAGCACAATCCTTGTCTGACCTGCTCACAAGAAGAAAACAGGGTGAGATGATATCTTGTGTTTTCTATGAGTGCAAATAACAACAATTCTTGTAGAAATTAGAATCGTAATGCTCCTCACTCGACTTTGGATTCATGGCTTTGCGGCACCTCATGGCTGCAGTCAAAAACAAACCCATCAATGATGTCTTTGAAGGTCCTGAAACACAGAAGCATGAGATTCTCCAAATCTCTGAATAAGCACAACAATTTACGAGCAAATTAGTGCAGCAACTGAAACAGTTACATTTTCAATGTCGTTAATCTTATAAAAACAAAACATCCACTTACTGTCTGTCTATTACCAAGCAAGTAACTGCACCAGCAGCAACTACATTCACAGTCTGAACGTCCTCTCTAAAGACAAGGGTCATGAGAAAATCAAAACGTCAAATATCAAAGCAGAGCACACAATGAAAAAAGAAATGAAATTGCTGTTTTCATAAAAGTTGCTGAAAACTATGCATCATTTTCTTTACAGCCTCTTACGAAAGTGCATTACTTCCTTCCTCTTACCCCCACAGAGCTTTTTCTCCAAACCAGTGTCTCTCAGTGAGCTTAGAGAGGACTATCTCTTCATGCCCTGGCTTCATTTCTGTCACTTTCACCTGGCAAATCCATAAGAGAAGTAATGAAAAAGAGGGAGCCTAATGGTGAGAGAGCAATGTAGGAAACCGCCAAAGTCAATTATCACCATCATAAAGCAATTTCTAACGCTGTGCTGACATTTTGTCCTCCACATTCTAAATCTTTTACCCTGAAAGCCTCGTTTTATCTGTGCAGCAAGCAAAGAGCACAAAACTTTACCTGGCCTTTGCTAATGATATAAAAGGTGTCTCCTGTGGCCCCTTGTCGAATGATGTAGTCTCCTTCATTGTAGTGTGTCTATGGAAAACAAAGGACTGATAAAGGAGCAAACAGTGGAAGAGGATGAAAAGAGAGGAAGTAAAAGAACCAGCTCTCTTACAGACATAGAGATGGAAATAGAAAATGCAGAGGGACCGCCTGTAAACAACCGTGTTTACACACGTTCCGTCTGTCTGCAAACATAATCTACCCGCTGTTTTCTGTTTGAAGGATGAGTGATGTTTACACAAAACCATGCTTCAGATTTTAAGAACTTAATCTGTACCTCCTCCATGAGATCAGACATTTTCATGATAGCATCCTCTGGCAATGACTGCAGGAAGGGAACGCTGCAGACACACAGGTACAAAGGAGCGAAAGGCTTAGTTATCATCCACGATGACAGGTTTGCAAAGGGTTTGATTTAATTTTTACATTACACTAAAACATGTCCTGCACGTTGATATTGCACATGACATTAAGGCAATGCTAATGCTCCCTGCATGCAGCATCGTGGTGACTTGCAAACAATATGACCCTTGTGATGTTGTGGTGAAGGCATTAGAATACAAAGCGGCTTTCCATGTCAAATCAAGTGTGCCGTTCTGACATTCACCTGCTAAGGAGCTCCATTGAATGAGAAAGGCTGTTGAGACCAGTCTGCATAAGTATGGTCTGGTAGCTCTTGCTGTCAATAACCCACAGCTTGCTGTCCGTTTGTGCTGCAGATCAAAATACAGAGGTAGAGAAAGTGACAAAGGTTGTGTCAGTGACACTGGAGCTCAGGTGGAGCCATAATCAAGAGGAAGGTATTGAAACAGCTCTAAGTGGCATGTGTAGTGAGTGTGATGGATATGGATGTACAATGCAGGTTCATCAGCTGCAGCCTAAAGAGCAGACAGTATAAGCAGGTCGGAACTTCATTAGAAATGCTCACCAGGTAAAATGAAAAGAAGTGTGAGCGCTTATTTTCCTTACAAAAGACTTTTAATATAAATCTAATCTGGTTTCCTTAGCTGTAATTACCCTCTTTCTCTATAATAGAGCTTGAAAAAGTTATTATAAATTAATAATGACCCATATTGATTGGTTCACTGAAGCTTCCTGCAAACGGAAGTAAATGTCCTCTAGACAGTCTAATTAGATCCACCATCTGATAATATGGTGCAGGCTTTATATCTCAGTTCCCCCATTTGGATATACCCCATCGATTTTCACTTGAGCACCACATGACACACAATTCATCATCATGGCTTTTTATATGCTTCTGAATCCTGTGCAGACTATCTTTAAAAATTAAAATTCTAGTCTCAAAGGAGGATTTTCTGACATCTTCTTCAGTATATCCTTTGCCACCCTGAACTTCCATGACCTGATGAGGACACCCTGTTTTCACCGGCACCTTTATCACTGTCACAGTGAGAGAGACCACATGAAAAGGAAAAGCCTTATTGATGGTCTCAGATGGCAAGAATGAAAAAAAAAAGTAATTTCAGGTCACGACAGAGATGAACACAGTGGGTCCTGAGCAGAGCAAAAGGAAAGGGCTGACAGAAATGGATATGGAACAAAAGACAACAGACTGCCGACATGAGCTGAACATTGTGTGAGATATATAGTGTAGAACAGTGCATTGGAAAGGCTGACTGCTCGCAAGATAAAGAAAGCAGCATAAACAGAATGAGATGCTTAGAGCCCAAACAAGGTAAATAGACAGATTTTTCAATTTAAACTAATTCTGGCTGTTTCCACAGACTGTTCATTTGTGAAACCAGGTCAGACGCATGTGACGATGGCTGCAAAAGTTTTCCCACAGGACTCTGTGATCAGACGCTGGAAGGAAATGATAGCACGCTTTCTATTTTCTAAGGAATATCACAAATTCTTACACCAGAAATGAATATTTGACAGGTTATGATCGAACCACGAGAAGAGTGAATTGAATGCAAATGAGCTCTGAAAACATTATTTGTAAATGTTTGTGAAAATTCAGTTAATGCATGCTAGATTTCAGGGAGGGGATGTGGCAGTCAGACAGAAAATGTTTTAAATTCCCCACATCTCTGAGAAAACCGTTTGAAGCTGTGGTGTTGTCTAAGATTTCAAAAGGTCTTTGATTTTAAATTCAACAGACGTCTTCTGTCTAAGACCACTGCCAGAAATCTGCCTGCTTGTGACAGTCTTTAAAACAAGAATTTTTTTATATGCCGACCAAATCAAAACGAATCACAGTAAAACTCCATCAGTGTTTTGGTGTGACAGTTATATGCAAATATAAAAGCAAGAAGCCAGCACATTGCTTTGATACCTGAGACAGAGTAGGTGTGGATGCAGTTATAGAGGAGAGCCAGCTCTCCAAACATGTCCTGTGGCTCGATTGTAAGCAGCTTCTGTCCATCTTTTGTCACCTCCAGCCTCCCCTCTGTTAATGAACACACAGTCAGTGAAGAAATATAGCACGTACAATACATAGAAGTGTTAGGTGCATGTTTTTTCGTGTCAGAAAATAAAGAGGGACTGTCAAGAACCATCCACATCATCCAAATAGGGGGCAGCCGCCCTCTGTTAGTTGTCACATTACAAATGCTACCAAGATTCCAGAGGACAATCGAGCACCGATGAACTCTGCAACCAAAGAAAAGCAGAACCTTTTTTTCTCCTATCTCTTCAGGCTTAAGTTGACATTTCAACACAAAACATCAATGTAGGTCACTTGTTATTCCCCAAAGTGCCTCCTCTTTTTCCTCGCTCAACCATGCAATTGTCACATCATTGTGCTTGAAAGTAGTGTCAGATAATCTAATCAAATTGTGAGCCAGCAGTAAAACTGATAGGCCAAAATATGATAAAATCTATCATTTCATCTGACCGTCCTTAAGCACCTGTCATCTCAAGGAAGTCTTAATAAATACCCTCTCAAGTATGATTAATGTTAGCAGTTGTAAGAAGAAAATGATTTACCTTCTAAAACATAAGCCTGAGCCCCGCTGGTCCCCTCCTGGATGACATAGCAGCCTTGATTGATGGTGGTGGGATACATGCAGGCTATGATGGCTCTGATTTCTCCTTCGTCGTGGTTCTTCAACAATTCATTTTTCAAAAACGCTGCCTGAATCAACCTCTGAGACCTGAGGGCATGAAAGCAGGATACTGATGTAACATTTAAAGGCATTTAAGGGCCTTTAATTCTGTGTCATAGGCTGCAGTGACTGAAAATGATTTGGAAATATTTATTGATTCTGAGTCATGCAGAAAGCAATTGGGGGAGGCTTGAACACTTGAGAGACTGATTTTTTCAGTTAGAGCAGGTGGGAGCTGAGAGAACACTGTGTGCTCTTACTCGTGGCTTTTGTCACAGCTTCTTTGTGAAACCATGGCAAGAGTCACCGGGTCCAGACTGAAGGGCTCAGAAATGACTGTCCTCCTTTTGGCTCTCTGCTTGTCCTCAAACTGAGCTGAACAAGCTACAGGACAGAGAAAATACACACATGCAATAAGTCAAAAATGTAGCTCAGGTTTAGGGCTTGTGCTCTAAACTCTAAAACATGACATATAAAAGCAGCATGTTCTGTACCTGCACTGACTGCAGAGGGTCCTGGGAGGGAGACTGTGGCCCTGTAGCGATCCAGTTCTTCCTGTAGTCTCCGAATGAGTTCATCCTTTGTATCCAACTCCAGCTCTAACTCATCTATTAGTGTGTCCCTCTGGCGGAGCTCCTCAATCTTTAATTGGAGGGCAAATTGGAGGTCCCGAAGTGTACCCATTATCTGCAAATACCAGTTGTCAAGACAGCAAATTATATCTCTTTCTACACACACACATTCACATGGCATACAATACTGTACATAGAGAGAGTGGGTCCAACTACAACAACAAGATTTCTCTCTGATTTTGCTGCTCAGCTGACTCAAGGATTGACAGTTCTTCTCTAATTAATTCCTGTGATTACTTATATTAATATTAATAAAGATAGATAGATAGATAGATAGATAGATAGATAGATAGATAGATAGATACTTTATGTATCCCCTAGGGGAAATTCATGTGTCCATTAGCTCACTGTTTATAATAATAATAATAATAAAAAATGTGATAGATAGATAGATAGATAGATAGATAGATAGATAGATAGATAGATAGATAGATAGATAGTCTAATCCAATGACACAGTTTCCCATGCAATAAAAAAGAAGACTACATTCTTCCTTTGCACTATGAGCTTGCAGTCCTTACAGTGGTTGATTTGATTTACAAGGTTATTGTACATGTGCAAATGCATTATAGTAACAGTGCAGTCAGTGTATTTGTCTCTTGGTCTTTATCTCCCACATCTTAATGAAAAAAAGAATTCAAGGACACTTGGCACATTTACGAGAAAATAAAGGACAAGAAAGTAGAAGTACTATGGTATTACAAGAGATAAAACTCTGATTAAAAAAGGTCAGTACAAACTCAGTATTGAATCCCAAACACAAGTCCAAACAGAAATGAAATATAGATGTTTTCATTTTGAGTCGCAGGCGCACCCGTAGCTGCATGCACTGGTAAATAGCTTTTGTGATACATGAATGAATTGGTAAAATCTGACAACAGCGTGTTATATCATGCATCTGTATTTACAAACTGTGTACTAGTCCTGCTAAATATCAAGCCGTACTGTACTTCACATCACACACAGACATCACTTACCACCTCTAGGCTGTGGGGCGTTGTGGAAGTCTTCCTCACTTGTCCTGAATAGGTCTGCTCTTGTTAAGAAGCAGACAGCCCATTCGACAGGTGCAGATCTCACCTCCCTCCCCTGTCGAAGATGCGCCTCTCTCGCTCGGGGCTGACCGGGGCTGGGCGTAGACAGCAGGCAATCACATGACCGAGACAGTGGAGACCATCCGGGAGGGTGTAATGAGGAAATGCATGGACTGGATCCCAACTGGGTCAGAGGGTCTGTAGAGTATTTCCGAGCCCTGGGGAAATAGGTGGGTCTCTGGCAAACTGAGCGATGAACATTAATCATTTTGCTCCCGTGTGTCTAGAACATGAGAAAGAGATGAAAGTCTGGCTATGTGCATTGATCAGACAGTAAAGTGGCCTATGCTGGTTAACAGCTGTAGCCTATATTGTAACATTTGTTTTCTCAATGGCCGACACTTACATGATGATATATATGTTAATAAAAACACGTTATTACAAAATAACGTCTAAACTGTGTTCAGGAACAATGACAGTGTTTTCTCATTATAGTTTTTTTATACTAGTTGTGACTATAGTTAGTGGCCATAATAAGTGATTTTAATTTTGATAACAAGCTATAGTCACATTGGCTGATTATCCAATTGTGAATGTAAATAGTTAAAGGGAAATAAGTCAGCCTATAAACTGTGTAGCACGAAATAGAAATCAAAATGCAACTTAGAATTTGTAATCACAACAATGATAATATTACTGATAACTACAATGATTGTATGTTTTTAAATGTCTGCCCTTATCGCTTCTAGATTCATCTTCCTCTTTCCTATTTATATTTAATTATTGTCTAATTAATGGATTATTCACCATCTCTTTGTTTATTTGGGTGGAATTATCCTCCACGGAGGGTAGTCCTTAATGGCCGTACCACACCCGAACAGTAGGTGGGAGTAGTTCTCCCTGAGAGCCGCAGCAGGCTGTCCGCAGCTGCCGGAGAAGAAGATGGGCCGTTGACAAGAGAAGAACTGCTGTAGCTATCTTGAGCTAGTTAAGTAACGTTACTTGGGCAGCGTTTGTCGTTAAATCTTAAACGTATTGCTGAGTGGTTGTGTTTTTTTTGGGCCTTCGTCGAAAATGATCCTTACCGTGAAACCACTTCAAGGAAAAGAGTGCAGTGTACAGGTGAGTTAAGCACCACAGAGCTAGCTAACTGCTAAATGTTAGCTCGCTAGCTTAATTCGCAACATTAGCCTTTACAAGGAGCCTAGCTAGTTAGCGGTGGTCCTGTCACATGCTGAGCTACCTTGAATTAACTAACCCCTCATATACTGCTCGGGCCTAAATTATTATCATTATTGAATATAAAGCCTGTTAAATTAGGTTGTTATGTTTCACACATTGTCTCTTAAATTGAGGTTTTGAACAGACGCATCGTCGTCTAGGTATGAATTGATGTTACTGTGGCTCGCCTGTTGGGCACGATACCTGCAACGATTTAGACGTTTTGTGGTCCTCTCTCTCCTCTAACATGGGTTACCACTTTCACACACACAGGCTGAGTGAGATTTCTGTAAGTCCTTATTTGGTAGTACTTGTTGGAGAGAGAAAACGCTTGCCTAATGCGTCTGTAAAGCAGCGTATTGTGAAAAAAGGTTTTGGTAAGGCCGGCACAGCAGTATAACTAATTATCTTACACGTTTCTAGTGTTATTTGTCCCACTCTCAACAGTGATGTTATTTGCACACTGTAGACTAGTCCTAGCCCCAGTTTGTGCCTCTCATGTTTTGATGTGATAACGTTACTGTAAGGGGCACAAACTGGGGTCACATATGCGTAGAAACACTGACAGTAAAGGAGCTGAGCGAACTTTATCATATAGCATGTGAGTGTAGAGACCAATAGTTTGTAATATTATCAGATAGTATGAGTATTTGATGTGTGTGTGTGTGTGTCTGTTTGTGTGAAGTATTCGTCAAACTGGACTAAATTTGTCTTCAGTGGAAGACAAGTTACTCTTAAAGCTTATTTTAAACTGGGTCAGTGATTAAGATAATGCCATGTTCCTCCAAGTGCTGCTCTGAAAGTAAAAAAGTGCCTGCCCACACTCTAACATGCTGGTTACATGGTAAGTGAACCAGCTGTTATTTATTTATTTATTTATTTATTTTTTACTGGAAGAATTTACCAAGGTGAGAAAGAGAGAGAGAGAGAGAATTTCTCATTAATCGTTGGTTTTATGCAAAGGTAATGCAAAATAAGAATTTCAGATTAGCTACACTCCTCTGCAGTTTGAATACTCTTCAGCTAAATGGAAAGTGAGACTGCTTGGTGCATTTTGATCACAGACAGTGACTACATCATCATTTTTTTGATCTTCCAGGTGACTGAAGATGAAAAAGTCTCCACAGTGAAGGAACTTGTGTCTGAACGTCTCAACATACCAGCAAACCAACAGCGGTTGCTCTATAAAGGGAAAGCACTTGCAGGTAGATTTGCCAACTGTCAAATGTTTCATAACCTCTGTACATAACTGTAATTGCTTGATCCATCAATATATTTTCTACATGAATCAAATGTTAAAATGTTTAACATTGCTTTCCTCAGACGAACACAGACTGAGTGATTACTCCATTGGGCCAGAGGCTAAATTGAATCTGGTAATCCGTCCACTGGGGGAGAGGACTGGAGCTTCAGGAACAGCTGCCAGCAGCAGCAGCGGCACACATGGAGGAGTGTGGCAGAGTGTTTCCACCATACTTGCTAGACACTTTAGTCCAGCAGATGCAGCAAAAGTCCATGAACAGCTTATTAAGGTATTTAAATGCAGCATCTTTGCTGCATCATTTAATATGATCAAAGCTAAATTTGTGCTTGCCCATTTTGAGTTGTGGATATGTACACTTGCTGAACAGCTACAACTAGTGGAGGCTGGAGACTAAAATTATTAATGACTAATGCATCAAATGCAGCTTTAAAGGGCTTAGATCCATTTATGAATGGTTAATGAATGTGTGGATGTGAAGGCAAGATAATAATTTGATATTTATTGGAAATTTGAGAATATTAATATTTGACAGTCTTTTTCAGTTTACATCTAGTCTTTTTCCTCTTGCTTTTATAAGTGCGGCACGTCAATTTCAAGACTGGATCCTCTCAAGTCCTCATTTTCAGTCATAATAGATCACAATAGACTAACAAGGACAGTTTCATTTTATGTCTCATCCAAACATGGACAAGAAGTGCAGTCCTATATGTCCAAATTCAGAGGAAACGGAAAGTTTACCCTTTTAAGCCTGTGTCCCACAATCTGATGTGTGGTGGTCATTTGTTTAAAAGTGTTAGGCAAGCCTCATCAAGCCATAACAATGGGATTCAGCATGTTCAAATGTCATTTTTACCAGATATTTCAGTTGAGGGAGTGATGTATCACTGGACTAGACCAGAAGAAGAACACAATTTCCATAACCCACTGCAAGGTATAAATAAGGAAAGCAGCCAGCCAACATAAAATTGTACAATGTGCAATTCCTTTTATGGACCCTGTGAAGTTATATGGATATCTTCCATTGACAGTTGTCCATGATGTATTGAAATGAATCCCCAGCTCTTACTGCTTCCCACCAAGTTGCTTAGAGCCTCTCATTAATGCACCAACAGTTTGCTCTCTGTGAGAGGAGACCCTCTCATTTTGGAAGGAAGCACAGGTAGATGGATCCAGCTCCTAGTTTAGGATGTATCACAAGACTTGACATGTTGGGTTAATGTGACGGAGCTCTGTGCGGTTAACATTACCTCAAATTCTTGAAATACTTATCTTTTGTTGTCATTTGTAGCCGCCATTGTATGAAATTACCTGATTTGGCTTCAGGTCTGCATTACTCCAGACTAAACAAACTAAAAATTTAAGACATTCAAGAGGGTCATCTTTCCTGTCCTCTGTGCTTCATTTATCATAGAGCAGTATGCCCCCAAATATAATATGCTTAAAATGAGTTCAGTGGAATATTTTTTTCAACCTGCTGTTTCTCAATATTATTATTATTTTGTTTTTCTTCAAGGACTATGAACGTTCACTTCGACAACTTAGCCTGGACGACATTGAGCGCTTAGCAGGAAGACTCCTTCACCCAGACGGCGAGGGCATGGACACCTCATACATGGACTAAGAACACCAAGCTGGAAGTTGCTTTTTGTGATTGTCTTTCAAGGGGTGCTCAGTGTTCTAGATGCATTCAGTGTTTAGAGTGTGAGGCATGGAAAATACAGTATGTGCCTAATCAGTGGCTGAGTGAACACGGATAACACTGACTGTCTCAGCAATAGGGTTCTTTCTTATCCACGACCATAGGACTTGGATAAGACCAAAGGACTTGGATAAGAAAACTTTGCCACTTTGAATTTGTCCTCGTCATTGATTTTGCTGTCATGACACAAGACCTGATCACATAATATTTGTATACAAAGGAATCCATTTATGCTGTTTGTTTCACATGATCTCTGGCTGCTAAAACTCCCAGGGGACACTAACTTCTACTGGAGGGTATTTATTAGTAATGTCTGTGTTCGATGATGACTGGGTGTTTTCTGTAAATCATCCATGTGAAGGTAATATGTGTTTTATCCCATAAATAACTGATGGTCATTGTATGATTTGTAAATATGTTTATATATATACAGACATTAAAACACAGAAAAAAGACTTTGTGTTTCTTCTTGTGTTGTATGATGGTATTTTAAAGGATGTTCAGAAGCTTTTAAAAGAAGTGTTGACTGGGAAGGGATTTCTTTTAGTTCAGAGCATAAAAAGTAGAAGTGGTTAGGAAAAATGAAGGGGTGTTGGTTTCAAGGGGGACTTCACAAGGCGGGACCAAACGATGCCTCGTTTACATGTCGACCAATCAGGTGACAGGAACACTCGTGATTCATATTTTACGACCAATCAAATTGATGGAGAGTAATGTGGGTACCGCCTATGTGGTAAATTCACGGTTATCTCTTGCTGCTAGTTTTGGATTTCAATTCGGTAAAATGCGATGTTTTTGACGCTCGCCTGGTTTTCTTCAAAGTATGAAAGACAGACACATTGGATGAGGAGGGATATTTTGTGCTGAACATCGGTAAGGTCAGAGAGGAGATTCGGTTGCACTAGCTGCTAAGCTAGCGCTACCATAAAGCTAGCACGTCTCTCACTTCCTGCCTTTACCGATTAGCTTCATCCAGCTAACATTATCTGATAATACTAAGCCTTTCGGCCTGTGCTGCTACATCATTTGTTGCCATGTAACTTTGACGGTAGGTCAGTGCCGTGACTTGTAACTGAGAGCCAATCTTCAAGTTGAAATCCATAATTTAGCGTACGAGGATTAGTCATAGTGGTGGTCTAACTGATGCTTAGGCGTTACACCCCTCTCATCAGGACCACTCTCCCTTCGGCGAAGCAATACTGTCTTCTTAGGGGAATAACTTTAACTTATTTATTTTTCATATTTGTCAATTGGAATTGCAATTATTCAACTCAATGTTATGTTGACGTTAGAGTAGATTGTAGCCAACTTCACTGTCACTGGGCTTTTGGGAATAACATTGTCTGTAGCCAGCCTTACTTCTTTAGAGTTATTATAGTTTCATTGTGATTCGACATCATCTGATTTACTTTGCTCTACTTTCTCTTTGTCCATTCATGTTTGTAATGTTTTGTCAATTCAGTAAGTGTCCCCAGTTTATTGGAAGGATGGAAACTCTGATCCCCACCATCAACCGGCTGCAGGAGGTCTTTCTCACAGTGGGCGCAGAGATTATACAGCTGCCTCAGATAGTCGTGGTTGGATCTCAGGTCAGACAAGAAAAAAAACAAACACACACACACACAATGAAAAGCTTCATTATAAACTTAGCCATTATGTGTAACTCTTTGCTGAACTTCACTGCTTTTACTAAAACTCTATGGTCTATTTGAGTTTGAGTTTTTGATTTGATCAGAAATTGAGGATATATTGTCCATTGCTGAATTGGTCTCGTTATGTGCTACAACAGAGCAGTGGAAAGAGCTCTGTGTTGGAGAGCCTGGTTGGACGGGATTTCTTGCCTCGGGGATCGGGAATAGTCACAAGACGACCCCTGGTGTTGCAGCTCGTTAATGTTGCCCCTCTGCAGGAGAGACTGAAGATTGAGAATGGTACCCAAACATTGATGTGTCTTGTTATATCTGTCAGAGTGAAGTTGCCTTAAATATCCTTTTAAGTACACAGTCAAATTTTAGAAGTTCTAATCTGCAGAATATCAGCAGGTTAAAATAGGGCAGCAGGTTTGTTATTTCTGTCTAGGCATGGAGTCTGCTTGCAGTAGTTAATGTGTGATTAGCACTTAGGCATGGCACTTTCACTCACTGTTTGAACTGCTAGCTGCTCCTTGTAGAGCCTTGGTCTGTCTTTGCTAACATGCAGTCTTTCTTCCTCCTCTTCTTCACTACTTTTTCAGGAAATGGGGTAAAACAAAATGCCCAAAACAGCTACCCAGGTCTCTGTATATTTGGTCTGCATGGACTCATCTTTGTTTAGCCTTGTCATTTCTTTTGTGAACTCTAAAACATTTCGTTTGTTCTGATCTTCATCTGTCCAGCATAATATAAGTTCATTTGCAATCTTTTCAGTTTACATTTTTTCTCCCCAAACCCTAATTTTATTGGTACTCTACATTTTGGACGCAACACTGTGAAATTACTTACACTCACTCGTTTGTTCAGGTGTCAAAGCTGAAGAATGGGGTACATTCCTGCACTGCAAGAATCAGGTACATTTTTCTAAGATATTCAAATGATGTGTTTGCTGCCTTTGTCCTCTATTATGTTCAGTGTTTAGTTGATGCATCATTTTCTCACCTTTTTTGACAGATCTTCACAGATTTTCAGGAAATCCGTCGGGAAATTGAAGCAGAGACTGAACGCAGTTCAGGCGACAACAAGGTGAGAAGAAAGCGTTGATGTAAAATTAGTGATGCCTCAAATTTAGCATTACACTGCATTCATGAATTTCTTTCCTCGTTTCACGCCCTCCAGGGAATCAGTCCAGAGCCCATGTATTTGAAGATTTTCTCACCCAAAGTCCTTAATCTGACTCTGGTTGATTTACCTGGAATTACTAAGGTAAACTCAGCCACTTGACAAGGATGTTGATTTTGTTTAATGTTTGCAAACATAGCGACACTAGATCATGATTAATGCTGATTGCATTGCATATCTGAAATCATCACAGATTCACAGATGCCCTGCATCTGTGCTGTGCTGACTATAACATTGGCTACTTATTGTTGTCGTCTCAGGTTCCTGTTGGGGACCAGCCAGAGGACATTGAGGCTCAAGTGCAAGAGATGATCTTGTCCTTCATCTCCAATCCAAACTCCCTCATCCTCTCAGTGTCCCCTGCCAATTCTGACTTGGCCACCTCTGATGCACTGAAATTGGCACGTGAGGTTGATCCAGATGGTAGGACATTTTGTACATAGGCTCTTCTTCGCATTAGATTTCATTTTAATTTTCTCTCCTCTCGAATGGTGTTTATTAAATAACATGCTTCAAGTAGAAGTTTATTTTGAATTATTAAATGTGCAGGAAGAACACATTATACTCAAGTCATTTCAGGCTATTGGACTTGTCAGTCTTACTGTCAACAGCATCCTGGCAGTTAACAGTTGCTTAGAAAATTAATGTTGCTACCACGATCCATTCTGAAGAATGGATTGATCAGTAATGAGAATCTCTGCCTGTGGTAATTATCTGGGAGGTTGGCAGTATGGCCTAGTTATGCCTGTTGTGCACACTGGATGAATAGTCGGATATCTGTATCTGGGCCCAAATTTTCCCCAGCTGGCCTGAAATCCTGTCCCATCCGAGTCTTGTTTCCCATTTCTGTTCTCTTATGTTCCACTGTAAGATTTCACACTGGCTTTGTCAAAGTAAAAAATATTAAACTAGGGGGGTTTGTCTGCTGTCCTTAAAAAATAAATGATCTCATGCTGTGTTTGTTTGTCTGCCAGGTCGTCGAACACTGCTGGTGGTCAGTAAGCTGGACCTGATGGATGCAGGGACAGATGCTCTGGAGGTCCTTTTGGGTCGAGTCATCCCAGTCAGGCTAGGGATTATTGGGGTGGTTAACAGGTTCGAAGCAATAGTAAATCTACTTTTTATGTTTGGTGGTCAAAGCCTGGCTTTCTTTGATTTTACCTATGTAATGTTTTTTGGCTTTTATCGCAAAGTAAGGTGCTATCCTTTTAGTTCCCTTGTTATCAACAACATCTAACTACACTCGCTCTCTCCCTAATTGGTGTTCCTCCTAGGAGCCAGCATGACATCAATACCCAGAAGAGCCTGGAGGACTCAATGAAGGATGAGCAGGCCTTCCTGCAGCGCCACTACCCCTCGCTCGCCTCCCGTGCCGGCTCACACTATCTGGCCAAAACTCTCAGCAGACTTCTCATGCACCACATCCGGGATTGCCTGCCAGATCTCAAAACCCGAGTGACCGTGTTGAGTGCCCAGTACCAGGCAAGGCTCAATAGCTATGGGCAGCCAGTAGAGGACCACAGCGCCACCTTGCTGCAGATTGTCACCAAGTTCGCCAGTGATTACTGCAACACCATTGAAGGAACAGCCAGATACATCCAAACCTCAGAGCTGTAAGTCTGACCTCTCTACAGTAGCAGGAACTTTATTGAATAGTAGCTGCTTTTATGACGTCAGTAGCCTTTGTTTCACAGCGTGATGAGTTGTCTCTAATTTTCTCAGGCTGTCATCTAATTCAATACTTTTGCTGCACAACTCAGCATTTTACTTAAGACGGTTCACAATGTATGTCATGGGGGTAATGTCCTTGGGATAATGTAATCATAAATTAAAGTGGTATCAGCATCTTCTTTTGGCACCTTCATCTCCACAACTCTTTTACCACAAGGCGATTAATTCATGTAAATATGTAGGGAGCAAATATTGACCTTTTTTGGTTGACTGCATTTAATTTTGGAACAATTAACATTGCTGACACACAGCACTGAGAAACAACGTTGATGTGACAGCTGAACCCATCTCTCCTGCAGCTGTGGGGGTGCTCGGATCTGTTACATATTCCATGAGACCTTTGGACGCACTTTGCAATCCATCGACCCCCTCGGGGGACTGACTGAGCTCGATATCCTCACTGCCATCCGCAATGCTACGGTAAACATCTCTTGACTTCTATTTATGTAATTTATTTAATCCAAATTCTGGTCAAGTTCTCTTGTTTATAGGAATAGCAGGTGAATAGTAGAGCTGGTGTGTGTGTGTGTGTGTGTGTGTGTGTGTGTGTGTGTGTGTGTGTGTGTGTGTGTGTGTGTGTGTGTGTGTGAGTGATTTGCCCTGCAGGGTCCACGGCCAGCGCTTTTTGTGCCCGAGGTGTCCTTTGAGTTGCTGGTGAAGCGGCAAATTAAGCGGCTGGAGGAGCCCAGCCTTCGCTGTGTAGAGCTCGTTCATGAAGAGCTGCAGAGGATCATCCAGCACTGTTCCTCCTTCAGCACACAGGTTAGCCAAGAGGCGGTGATGCACTTTACACATCACTGAATTCCTAAAATAGTGCTGCAATAATTATGATAGCACCATGTTAAGAATGTATGTCTTCTTCTTTGCAAGGAGCTTCTGCGATTTCCCAAACTGCATGACTCCATTGTGGAAGTAGTGACTGGATTACTGAGGAAGCGCTTACCAATTACTAATGAAATGGTAATCCACTGCTTGCCGAAAATGATCTTTCATGCTAATTATAATAACCAACAGCCAAGTCATATTAACTCTCTGAGACCTTTTTTCCCACTTTTTTTTCTTTAGGTACACAGTTTAATAGCAATAGAGCTCGCCTACATCAACACAAAGCATCCAGACTTCACAGACGCTGCGCAGGTCTCAGCATCTGTCAACAGTCAGCAGGTAGTTATTTGTCCCTTACAGCAGGTACTCACATTTATCATTTATTGTTCTAGAGTAAACAGCTGAAGTAGTGTTCTGTAAAGCCTTAACCATTATGTTTCACATACAATCCATCTCATAGCTTGTAGTGGAATTCCAGGCTCAGCCAAAATTGCTTTGACCCTCTGACTTCTACGGATTTCTTGCTGTCAGGCAGAGGCCCTTGATGGAGGGAAGCGCTGGAAGAACGAGAAGGTTGCGGAAGAAAAAGTCCCGCCTGCAGGCTTTGGCAGCCCCAGCAAAGGCCAGGCCATTAACCTCCTTGACACAGTGAGTGGTGGGATTAGCAGTAGGACAAAACACTTAGTAGTGAATTCATTGCACACTGTCAACATTTTACTTTGGGTCTCTCTGCCAGGCAGTGCCCGCATCCCGCAAGCTGAGTGCGAGAGAGCAGAGGGACTGTGAGGTCATCCAGCGTCTCATCAAGTGCTACTTCCTCATTGTCCGCAAAAGCATCCAAGACAGGTTCGACTGGAACATATCCAGAGCTCCTTGGGGCACTTTCTCTCCCCATTTCCCCTACTATTTCTACTCTTGAGCTCAGTTGTTGTTATTGATGCTGATTTTCTAACTCGGGGCTGTCTGTCCGCAGTGTGCCCAAGACTGTGATGCACTTCCTGGTGAACTTTGTGAAAGAGCATCTGCAGAGTGAGCTGGTTGGTCAGCTTTATAAACAGCCACTGCTGCAGGAGCTGCTCATTGAGTCACAGGACACGGCACAGCAGCGGACCGAGGTTGCTCAAATGCTTGAGGTAAAATTGGCTGATGCTTTTGTTCTCTGAGTAGGTTCTGAGCAACAAGAAAAGCAAGTGCTTTCTCTTTTTTCTTTTATCTTTAATTTAAGGCCAAGGATATAACTACTATCTCCTCTTATTCCTTTCTCAGGCTCTCAAAAAAGCCAGTAACATCATCTCTGAGATCCGGGAGACTCATCTGTGGTAGCCAGAGGACACGAACAAATTCCCTTGTCATAGAACAGCTTTGAGAGTATGAGAGTGTATGTGAGTTTACAGCACAGAAAGTCTGTTTGTGTGTGTGTGTGTGTGTGTGTGTGTGTGTGTGTGTGTGTGTGTGTGTGTGTGTGTGTGTGTGCTTGCGTGTGTGTGTGTATGTGTGTCTGTAAATGTGTGGCAGTACCACTCTTTTCTCATGGACCAATGACCATAGCACATATAGATTTAAAACAGTACACTGGGGCTGTTGCTTTTCACTGTGAACGTTGTGTAGTGATGGAAATTCATTCAACACTCAGGCTGAAAGTGTTATTGCAAAGGTGAACTATGAAAGACACAGCCGCGAACAAAATGTTTATGCATCATTTTGTGTTGAAAAGTTTGTTGGGTCGTACGATTGATGCTGTAAATGTAAAATGTAAATTATATATGGAGTATTTAAGTTGTTCTCTGGGGTGTTTTTTGGATCTATATGTCTTCACACTGTACAATTTCACACTTTCCAAAACCTGGGCTTCTTCCGAGCCCCTTCAACAGGTGCTAAAAACTATGTTAGATCAGGCGTTCCAACTTTAATCCCCTTTATTGGATCCCTCGCCAGAGATTGAAATTAAGTGGAAAGCCAACTCAGCCAATGCTGATTGCAGTGCAACACTGCACCATGGTTATTTGCAGAAATTACAGGATGAATGCAGGTTGTTTTTCCAGCTCTGCAGTGAAAATCAATATTAGGTTTATTTTTCAGCGTTACATTTACATATCAGCCCATTTATAATGTTTGCTGTTCATGTGAGGATTTTAGGAGCCTCCCACGTAGAGGCAGACAGCTATAGTATGTAGTGTATATATACTATGGTATGAGTGAATTCTTAAAATGTTTTTTTTTTTTAAATGTCAGGAGATAATGTAAAAAGGGTAGATGGTATGATTTAAATGTTTCCATAAGCTTGTTCCACATTACTGACCCGCTCCATACATACAGACCAACTGCCTGCAGGAAAGAGAGACTCAACACGCTTATACCCGCAGCATGAATTTATTTGCAAACTGTGAACTTACATCTCAAGTTAGGCAGAACCATTTCATTGTGTAATATTGCTTGGTATGTGTAAAATTATTCATCTTTTTATCTTTTTCCATCTGCTGATTCTAATGTAGGTTGATGTTCAGGTAGATTCTTCCCCAAATATATCAATCATTTCCATTAGCCAAAACAAATAGTTCTAAAAATGAGGTTTTTCAGGAAGACCTGCTTTAACAGCGCCATCAAACAGTAACTCTGACTTCTTCTGTGTCTTCTTCTTCCAGACAGCCTGTCTTTCTGAAAAGCCTTTGCAAGTTTGCATGTGTGTGTTCAGTATGCACGTGTGGCTGTATGAATGAATGGTTTGTGTATATCATGGACTATTTAAATGTATATTGTTATCATGTTTCAACTGCCTCTGAGTTCTTGCCTGCCAATATTTGTGATACATGTTTACTGAATGAAGTCTGTTCTGATTGGAGGGACTTATTAAACCTTAACAAAGGATACTGAACAGACTTAGTTTGGGTGTTATTGACAACATGCAGTTCTAACAATTCATCATTTATCATAAAATCTGTTTGTTTGTTTCCCACAGCGCTGCAACAATAGATGTGATCATACTTACTCTGCTTCACCTTATTGACTAAAGTGACTAAAAAAGTCTGTTGGTTCAGATAGGTCTATCGCAGCAGCACCAATGGGATAAAGACAAAGTGTCCTGATGGGTGCCAACACCACACACATGCTTGAAGTGACACAAGCTCCAGTCTCCAAACCTCTTGTTTCCTAGATGTTTGACTCTTCACTGCACCAGCTACATAGAGTGAAATTTCGCTTCAGAGCCATCCTCTCCCATTTAGATGATGGATTATTACCTTTTGATGTCGAGGCAATCCAAGTTAAACCTGAACAGAGGCTGAGAAGTGAGGTGATGGATGAGTTGAATGTGCTAGTACGGATAGAGTGCTGGTCATAAATGTTAGATGAGAGTGAGTGAAGGCACTACAGTCCAGGAGAAAGGACTATTGGCACAAGGCAAACATGACAAATCAAATCACCCCACTATAAGTGGTGCTGTACACACATACGAGTCAAACTGCATCCACAGCAGAAAGCAGATGGAGTACGAGCACCATGCTCCAAAATGAAAATGAACCACAAGATAACAAACTCTTACTTCAAGTGATTATTTTAAATTGCCTGCACTTGGTCTCACACTGTAGCCAGTTATTGTGATCACCCTCTTATAACACACCCCACCTCCCCACCAACTGAGACTAGACTAGACCATACCAACTCTGACAGGATGGGAGGGGGCTCGACAGCAGCATCGTGACAAACTGCATAATTTTGGTTTCATAAAAGCAGCTGAATTAAAGTGGAACCAGCTCAAGACACCCTTTGATTCATTTATAAAATCCCTTTATGCTTTCTTGCTTTTCCGCCAGAGGAGCGCGCGCGGTTTCGGGCTGTACTCCCCTCCTCATCTCTCTTCCACCAGTGTACCAGTCAGCAGAGCAGGCTGAACAAAGCCATGGGAGAGAGAGAGAGAGGAGCTTCTGGGAAGAAATGTCTCTCACTGACTCTGTCGCCTGGACAACCGGGTAAGAGAGGAGGGGAGGGAGCGCGAGAGAGAAAGGACCAGGCAGCATAAAAGGAGAGGAAAACAACACATTATTAACTGCTGAGATTAGAGGATTCCTGTAGAGAGTGTGTGTGGGGGGGAGGTTGATTTTTTTGTGTGTCATTCGCTTGTGAGGAGTCCCTTGGTGTCTCTTTCTCCTGATGAGTTATTAAGTATGACAATAAAGCAGTAAATGATTTTTTTTTTCCCCACACCAGAGCACGGAGGAGATGAAATTGCAGAGCACAAGTTCAGCACATTACAAGTGGACCCAGTAGGCCTGAAATCTCCACCTGTAATTCTTGTCTAATCAGCCTCAGGTAAGTCTCCCCTCAATGTTGGAGGCTTTTTCTTTGATATTCTGTCTTTGCCTAATTATATATATTGATACAAATATTAATTATTGAAGGTTGTACAGTGTGCAATTGTCTAGAAAATTAGAAAGAAAGTCAAGAAATTGCTTTTTGAATCAATAAAGGCTCATCTTATGTGCTTGCAGGGAGCTTGGGGAGCAAGCATTGTTCATCAGAGTAACTCTGAAGCAGATAAGTTTTGGAAAACAGGCTTCATTATCTGTTTGAATGTGTTGTTTTCACATTTTGTATTACACTGCCAGACAGCAACTACCTTCAGCATAGTGTGAGGCTTATTTATTCCATTTTTATTCAGCAGAGTGAGAGAAATTGCATGGAATATCCCCAGGATGCTTCACACAGCGTTCACTGAGAGAGAGAGAGCTTTGCGCGTCCTTCGGTGCGAGCAGAAATTCATCGACAATAAGAAAATTAACACTGTTGTTGGGCGCAAATGGATCTTGAGAGTTTGACTTGAACTGTGGACTCCAGCTTCTCAGTGCGAAAAGAATAGAAGGCACGTCCGCTATAAACACACTGCTGAGCGCTCATGCATAAGGAATATATTCATAGAGCAGTAGTGGTGAAATCAATGCCCCTTTAAATGAGCTGGTATGCTGGCTGAGTTTACAGCAGGCTGAATATGTGTGGGGCAGGAGGCAGCATGTGATATCCATATTGGATGAGATGGAGACTAGATAAACTGAGGAGGGTAGTGGTGGTGGTGGTGGTGGTGGTGGTGGTGGTGTTGGGGGGGGGGGTTATTTTTAGCTGCTGTCAGTAATGAAGGTTACAAATCTCTCACCTTTGTGAACAAGACAGAGATGTGGAGGAAAAGCAGCAAGATTGAAGGGAGAAAAAGGGCAAGAGATTGAGGGATGGAGAGTGAAAGGAGGATTGAGAGAGATGATGATGGGTGAGGGGTTCAGGCTCACAGCATGCTGGGATTGCTCGGAGCTCCCACTTCACCTACCTGACACAATCCAGAAATGTAGTGGAGGGTAAAAACGCTGACACTGGTCTTACCCACGTTTTTATCGGAGAGAAAACATATACAGGAAAATTCTGTCTGGCTGAGTTTACAGTTCACCCTCCTTTTTGCTCACAACACGCTGAACACAGCACGTGAGACAGGCCAGACACAGCTATATGCTGCACAACACAGTCCAACAAACAACAAGCCCGCAGGTGTGGCATGACCACCTGGGCTGCACTTGTTTGAAAAAGAAAAAAATGAAAAAAAATGGGAAAAAAAGCTACAAATTCCAAGTCCAAGGTTATCCAATACACAGACACACAGCATCCATAATACAAGACCAGGTTCATTTTTTTCAACCGATTAATACAAGATTTCATACCTCAAAACCTGCAAAATAGATTTTGCTTTGATCGTTCATTTCAGGCCTCTCTGCATTTTTCTGTTTCAACTTTGAGCCTAAAAAACTACGTTACAGACGAAGACACACGTCCTCACTATTAGGAACGGCGTATCTTTAATATAGACTGAGCCATATGGGAGACAGCTTTTATTCCAATTTATACAGAAAGCACAATGCCAAATTAGACTCTATTTTTAATCCACACCTGCGCAGGCTTTAAACCGACTGTGTTCTCCTAATCTTTGCAGAAAAATAGCAGTGTTGAACAATTCTGGCAGCTTGTAAACACATTAGTTATACCAGGCTCTGCACCGCTCGCAGTGCTTTGCAGATGTAGACCGCTCATAATTACTGTACATGAGGTGCAATGTTCTTGGATGCGAAGAAGCGCCCGACTCATCAAGACGAGAGAAAAGGATGTGTCCCTGAGGCCGTGCATCACTGTAGTTATCTTTCCCCCACTGTACCTGTGTGCTGACTGTTGCAAAGTACACAGTAGGTGACTAGAGCTTTAGCATGAAGCACAGAGCTCTGCCTCAGTGTCTTATAAGCACTATGTCTGTCAGTGTCTTCAGTGTCTAATGAGTTCTGTGCTTCTGCAGCGCTAATCAGCCTGTGTTGATGTTGAAATAGACACAGAAATGAAGCTGTGAAGATGTGCTGATAGTCCTCTCATTTAGATTTTCTTCCATGAATATTAAACAGCACAATTTCTTTTCGCAGATGTTTGAGGTGCTGGTCGTTTGTTTGAAGGGTGACGGCTCTGGCGTGTGCGACTTCAGTCATTCCCCAGGCTTTTTCTTGAATTCCTCCTTTCCACTTCTTTCCTCTCGTCATATTTCCATGGCTGTCTGTGTGCCTCCTCTCATCTTCTGTTGATGAGAGTGCCATCATCAAAACAAGCTGGAGAGGCTGAGATGAAATGTAACAGGATTACAATAATCTAATTACCAAAATTAGCAGCTGAGTTTCCATTTCCCTTAAATGCCTGATTATATCTCACACATTTCTTAAAGATTGGTCACATAATTGGTCATACTGCTTCAATAGAAATACGTTTCAAGTGGAAAGGCGACTTGCATTACAGTATTATGGAAAACAACCTAATAATGCTTATTTTAAATAACAGCCCATGATAGGTAAAGATAACCTGCAATACTCTTCAAATGATGCCAGCAAATTGTAACAAATTATTTTCCTTGTTTTTTTGGAAAGAGACAGCACTGTAATTCAAAAGCAGCCTGAAAATAATTAGATGATTTTGATGAAACTGCATATTTTGTTCTCTGTTTTCACACTTTAAAGGTAAAGTACCCAACACCATTGATGAAGTGGTCCTTTAAAAGAGCAGAAAGTTCACATTCACACTGCGTGGGTAGATGCTGGTCAGCTGATCTCCCATTAAAAGGTGCACTGGTGTCCTTGTCTGTGCAGCGAGATGACATGGTAATTAATAAACCCAAGTGTTGTGCAGATTAAAAATTAGCCTCCCTTTCACAGAATATTAGACACAGTGTGGAGCTCTTGGTTTCCAACTCGTCTTCGTCTCTTTCATAAAAGGAAAAAAAATCCACCATAAAACTGGATTAGCGTATATAAGTCCTGTGGACATTGAGAACATTAAAAACTGTCTCTCAGCAAGTGAGCGACCGTAGAGTTTAGACTGTTAATGATGTTGCCATGAACCACATCCATGAGCTGCTCCATTATCAGTGAAATGGAGAATGACTTTGTGGACGCAGTGACCGCACCTGAGGTGATTTTCTGCAGCAGAGATGAGCGCGTTTTCTGCTTTAACACATTGAAATAAAGTTTATTCAGGTGCGAGAGCAAAAACAAAAATCCCATGAATCAACAAACCTCCAGTTAATTCTTAGCTTGAGGGTTTGTCTCTCAAAAGTCTTTCTTCTCTGCTTTCTAACTCTAGGAGCTTTAATCATTTTACAAATATTGATTAAACGGTGTAATTTATGAATTCTTTTTTATGATGAATTTTCACTTCAGCTACAGAGCTGAGTGCAGCTATCTTTTGTCTTACCTGGCTGACCTTGTTCCAAAGAGAACAGATAAATTGCTGCTGTTAGCAGGCTCACTGCCACTTGAATGCAAACTGTCTGCACTATAGTGTGCGTAGAGGAGCGGAAAAAA